TCTGTCTAAATAATGGTTCAAAACCCTAAATGCAGAAATATCACAATATAAGGCACCTTTGAGAGACATAATTCAAATGTATTGATAACTAGATGCACAACATTTGAATTCAAGGCTCGAATGAACACATATTTTGGCACTATATATATAGACGTGTTTACCACACTGAGGCTGGCGAGATCTGTCTGCAACTGAGAAACAGCTTCATTGTGATCCTTTCGCCTTTTCTCCATAAGACGATCAATGATGTCTGAGTTTTTTTTCTCTGGAACTACAAACAAAACGGAATCGCAACAGATTGACTTTTGGGTCTAAAAGACTTTTGGGAAAGATGACTAGGTCGACAGGTTTGTAATTAGAAATGGCTTCCATATTAAAAAATTATTGGAACATGTATTGCAATTTGTCTTTATTTTATAAATGAATTGATTCATATTATTGGCAAGAGGTATGCGTCTTGAAGAAAACCTGTATCTTTGACTCCAATTTAAAGGATTAGTTCACTTCAGACTTAAAATTTCCTGATAATTTCCTGCCCCACATGTCATCCAAGATGTTCATGTCTTTCTTTCTTCAGTCGAAAAGAAATTAAGATTTTTGAGGGAAACATTCCAGGATTTTTCTCCATATAGTGGACTTCAATGGGGTACAACGGTTTGAAGGGCCAGATTTCAGTTTCAATGCAGCTTCAAAAAGGGCTCATGATCCCGGTCGAGGAATAAGGGTCTTATCTAGTGAAACGATCGGTCATTTTCTAAAAATAAAATAGAAATATATATATACTTTTTAACTTCTTTAACCTTTCAACGTGATTACGTAATGCGTGGCACATCGCAGAGCAAGTGCAAGATGAGCATTTGTGGTTAAAAAGTTTTTAGGTTTTTTTTAACGACCGATCGCTTCGCTAGATTAGACCCCTATTTCCGCGGCTGGGATCGTGTAGAGCCCTTTGAAGCTGCATTGAAACTGTAATTTGGCCCTTCAAAGCGTTGTACCCCATTGAAGTCCACTATATGGGGAAAAGCCCTGGAATGTTTCCCTCAAAAACCTTGATTTCTTTTTGACTGAAGAACGACAATGAGACATGAACATCTTGGATGACATGAGGGTGAGTAAATTATCAGGAAATTTTCATTCTGAAGTGAAATAATCCTTTAACAAATGCTGGTTTAAAATGAAGGTTTGTGTTTTTAGAATTTTTAGCTTTGGGTATGATACATGTAAAATGGAGTAACAAACATGTAAATATGTATTGTTCTTTTCCTGTTCCTTTGTACACCTTACTTCCAACCACTTCCCTCTAAACAATTCTGTCTTTTGTCTTCACAAGATTCCATGGTGGAAAACAATTAAGCATCAGTTCTCACCAACAGTGTCTGGAAGACCCCAAACCTCCTCACTATCATCCTGGTCCTCCTTTCTCTTTCTACCTGAATAAATAGTGTTCCTATCAAACAAAGGAACTTTTTAGGTTAAAATCTTCACATTAAAATCAAAATTGATAATTGCCAATTGAATTCGTGTTTTGAGCAGAAGCAGCATCATCATACCGAGTGGTCTCATTGAGCTGCTGTGATGCAGAGTCTGCAGCATCTTCTCCACTCAGCAGACAGTCGCCTTCATCCGCCACGCGCTTCCTCCGCGAGTCATAGAGAGCCAGAGACAACTGAACCTGAGCACAAACACTCACAAATCAACACATGCGCCGAGAGCTTCCTCGGCACATGATTAGGCCACAGCAAGTCTTCAATCCTGAAGATCCGCAATATTACAAAGAAAGCATCAACAATAAGTAAAACACATATTTGTCGTTTAGATATGAACACGAGTTAGTACTATTTTAACGTTACCTGGGCGTCAAACATTTGCCTGTACACTTTACCACTGGGTAACACACGCGTGTCTGCCATTGTAGCGAAAAAAATGGGCTTATTTCTTATTTCAAAACAAACTATATCGAAACCAACAGGACAGTTCGTTTATTATAAGAGTTTCCAAAATAAAAAGTCCGTGTATCTTGCAAATGCTATCTACGACTGTCAGAATTCTTGAAAGCGTTCAATCAGGCTGTGTGAAAGCGTTTTATCGTTGCTATGGCAGTCACGACACGCACACAAGCAACAGGTGATGATGACGCATGCGGAGTAAACAGTCCAACCAGCGGTGAGCTGAAGTGGTGTGCTCCGTCCAACCACAGACTGTAAAAAATATCATGCTCGTCCAACCAACCAAATTCCCCTTCAAAAGAAATTTGAACCATATTACCCGTTACATTCTCGTAATTCGTACAGTAATTAGCCGCTTTTGTTTGCCGTTGATAACTAAACAAAGTTTGAAATACACAATAATCATCCTACCCAGCTACTGCATTTTGTTTTTCAAATGTCATAATAATTTCACAAAGAAAGTTCATGAAAATAATAAGAATGTCACACATGCAAATAGGTTCATAGTACAATTCATGCTCATAAATTGGAGACTGAGGGTAATAATGCTTTTTAGTTCAGTAAATATTTTTCAGTGTAAGTTTATTTATCAAAAAGTCAAGTTTCTGCACATACTATACCTAAAGTCTTGGCTACAATTCAAACATTTCAACTGTTATTGCTCAAGAAAAAATACATACATAAAAATATATTAGTCTATATTTATTATATTATATTAATAGACAACAGAAAGATTGTGGTAGATCACTCATAACCCAGACAGCAACATAGTGTCACCCCAGATCCGGGCCACATCTGGTACATGTGGATTCAACCATAGGATTCAACGCGTACCAGATGTGGGCCGGATCTGGGCCGACACTGTATTGCTGTCTGGGAAGTCAAAACAACAACAGCTGGACATACTTTGACAGTAACAACTATGATATTGATATGATATTAAAGGTGCTCTAAGCGATGTGACGCGTTTTTTAAGGCTGAAACATTTTTTGTCACATACAGCAAACTCACTATCCGCTAGCTGCCTGTCCCCTGTCTGAACACACTGTAAAAACGCGGTATCTGTAGACACCCCAGGCTCCACAAACGGCAACAAAAACAAACTGGGCAAACCTGGGGCCTGTTTCAATTAGGAGGTTCAACCAACTCTGAGTTAAAACTTGAACTCTGAGTTGATTTACCCTGAGATGGGAAACTCTGAGTTTTCGGTTTCAGAACAGCTGAATTGAGTTAGTTTAATCTACTCTGAGTAGATTGACTCTTGAGTTAAGCGCGTGCACCATTCACCATGGCAACACAACAGCACTCGACAAAAAGACGTCCCCATACTTCAATACCATTTTTTAGTCTATGGTCAATACACAAGTATAATTTTCAATCACTGTTATATTATCAGGTGAAAACTGACAGAAAGGTAAGTTTATTAAACTAATACTCATTTTCAAGGTATACAGGCAAAAAGAAAAAAGAAAGAACGTGGCAGCAACTAAAATTGCCCAATAAAACCATAATTCAATCAGTTAAGCATAAAAGGTTCATGGCTGTAGGGTACATGACTTTACAAACATTTGACACATTAAATAAATATAATTCAGTGTCTATTCTTTTCACATAATTGAATCTTCTCTAATCCAACCTGTTACATTTTTTAATTAGGCTAATGAAATTAACATCTGACTTCTACTCCGCCAACAGAAGCTGGGCCTGCACCACACCACCACTGTTAGATGAAGAGGAGATACACAATACTGGAAGAATATTAAAATCCAACAGGAAAAATAATTACTGTTGCTTTTGTATTTGAAGGAAATAAAGATGACCAAATAATTTGTGAATAATTTGTGTATTTAACAGCTGTGGTGGTTACGACATATATCTCTACCCTTCCATCTGGCATCCTCCCATTCCATACAGTAATCTGGTTCATTTTCGGAAGGTGCAATGATGGGATTATGTGTGTCATCAACATCCAACCACACTGGAAATCCTAAAGGAAATTCTAATTATTAGGTTACTGCCAGAGGTCGCATCAAGATGTTATCAAGTGAATGTCATTTATCAGATTATCCTCATTTAAACCGATTTCTCCTCCACTGACCCTGTGAAACTCCTCTTTGATGGATCTCACGGGTTTGTGTCGAGGAAACAACACAAAAACTCACAGAAAGAGTGTGAGAGGGAGGCACACTTTCCTTCCCGCTCTAATACAGTGGCCTTCCTTACTAATGTGCTCTGCATCTCCGATGTTACATAAAAATGCGTAATGAATGAATGTACTGCACTGCAAAAAAATGGTTTTCTTACTTAGCCTTTTTGCCTGGTTGTTTCCAGTCAAAATATCTAAAAATTCTTAAATCAAGATGCATTTACTACATAAGAAAAACTGGGTTTACCGAAGAAAACCTGCTCCCGACCAGCTAAGGATCACATAGTAAGTTACCATGGTAACTGACTCTGAGTATAAGTTACCTCTCTTTCAGAAATGGGCTTGACTTACTCTGCTTTCTCGGGTTTAACATACCTCCAATTCTGAAACAGAAAACCCAGAGTTTCCCTCATTTCAGGGTTAACATACTCAGAGTTTTCACCTAACCTCCTTTCTGAAACAGGCCCCTGCACTGCACCACAAAACATAACAAACAGTGTTCCAGCCAATAACTGACAATAATGATTTGGGGGGTGGGGGTTGGGGGGTTAGTGCGCATGCACATGAAGGGGGGTGTGGGGAGTGGAGGAGAGAGAAGCATGAAGAGGGAAGTTAGCTAGAGGAGAGATGTCCTAGACAACGACTAACGTTAGAATAATATTCTCTTGAATTTTGATATGGCCAACACACGACCAAAGAGACGATGTTCCGATGAACAAATAGCAAAGAAGAGGGAAAAGGAGAAGGAACGCGTGAAGTCTCGAATTTACATCGGAAAAGCCTGTTTCAGGAAGCACGGAAGGGAGGGGGAGGGGACGGGATGAGGAGGAGGGAGAGTCGAGCTAGCCTCCGTTTTTTTTTACAATACTTTCGAACGTCAACAAGAAGTGACCCAACATCGCTTAGAGCACCTTCAACCTGGTTTTATGAGTCACTGGATGCAGAACAATGTTGTATTGTGATTAAATATGCTTTCAAAGAAGGCCACAGTTCTTCATCTTGTCCAAAGCTGTGTGTCACATCCCATCTGTATCACTCCCGGTGGTGTTGTCCAGGATGCACGGCACATTCTCTTTGTCTGTGATTTTTCTGGTTCTTAAAGCACGTTTCCTGTACAAGACCACATTAGGAGTATTGCTTAAGAACAAATCACTCAGTTTAATTAAGATCTGAAACACAGTAATTAGTTACTTCTCTCAGTAGCTCTGCTTTAAAGGTAGGGTAGGCAATTTTTATTTTATTTTATTTTTTACATATATATCGTCTGTGGAAGTCTCAGGACAAAAAAATGTTCGTCCAATCATTGCATTCGGTCCAAATGTAAGAGGTCTGTAAGTTGTTTACGTTCATTATTTTTGTAATTAGGGCTGCACGATTTGGGGAAAATGTCATATTGCGATTACTGAGGTCAATATTGCGATATGCGATTGCGATATAATAAACAAATGGTTTCATGAGTCAACTTGCTTGGTTCTAAAGCAAAATGCACACACAGATTAGTGATAATTCTGAAATGTGTATTTCTCAACTCAAACTAGCAACAACAACTAAATGATTGATACTATAATGATCAATAAGCCATTGATGTCTGGATAAAAATTAATTTAATTTTAATTTAAGTGAACTTCAAACAATCCTCACATAAACCCATAATAAATGTCATATTTACCTGTGCTCTTCTAACAGGTAGGACATATACAGAAATTGAATAAAGTTATCAAACAGTCTGCGCTGCATAAATTATAAATTATATGGACTAAAATCCTATTTAAAGCTACACAAGGTCTTTGGTCAAGAGCAGTGAGTGTTTTTCTCTGTTCCCTTTGTTCTTTGATTAACTTTACTGACAGAAAGCATTATTGGATGCTGGCCCTTTAAGAGTTGCTGACAGAGACGCGGATCTCACACGCACCTTATTCCCTCACAACTCTTTACGACCATCATAAGACTGCTCTTATGTTATGAAGACACTCGACAAATGATATTTTGGCGTAATTGTGTGTGTTATTGTTCGTTCACTTTAAGCGGAAGGAGAACTGTATTCTGGCGCGCGGTCTGTGCATGCGCATACTGGCGCGCGTCTTTCAGTCAGGTCAGGACATTCACAGGCAGCGCGCTCTCTTTTGACTTGTGTCGCTGAATGGTTTAAAGCATTCGCATGAATAAGAGCGGGATCATGTAACACTAGCCAAAGGATGACAAAAAATAACAGATGCTGCGTTAACAGCCCTAATTTGTTTATTTCATATAAAATCGCAGTATTTTGCATCATATAATCACATAGGCTTGACATCGCGATTACGATTGCGATATGATTAATCGCGCAGCACTAATTGTAATGTTATGTGCTTTGAGGCATGAGGTAATTTTAACGGCGTCTCTCGTGACGCTTTGCAGACTTGTCATGTGTTTTGGAGGAGGCGTGGCTTTGAAGAGATGGTGGGATCTCATACTTTCAAAGCTAGCTTGCTATTGCTAGCCTCTCCGAAATTGCCAACCCTACCTTTAATGGTTGAATTAAATGGTTAAATTGTGGTTCTGAAAGAATAAAAAAACAAACCTCCTGTAATGGAAGTTGCATTTTCCTTTAGGTCTGCAGTTACCTGAGGCGTCCTCTTCAGAGAACATCCTCTCGGAAAACAGACACGACTGCAAGAATGAAAAATGCTAACTAAAAAAAATAAAGCCACTTTCATTGTATGCATAAACATTCACCACAAAGACAACCTACATTGTACTCGCCAGATGTTTGGCTCTGTGATTCTTCACTCATATCTGTGTGAGAAAAAAGAAACAATGCTTAACAAATGAGAACAATCTATTTTTGAGCATGAGATCTGATTTACCCTAAAGTTACCCTTTTCACCCCTTTCCCTGGCCTCCTCTTCGCTAGTTTGACTTTTCAGCTGTGAATAAAAAGTAAACAACCCTGTTGATGATGACTAATATAATATATTCGTTATATCTGCAGTGAATTCTGAAGGGTTTTTGCATTTATATCAGTTTAAGAGAAAGCTATTCAAAATTACCTCAAATGAACTGAGCAAAGAGCTTTCTTCTGAGTTCTGAGGAATAAAACAAATCATAATCAGCTTACTATTCACTATAAACTGTAACCCAGTGGTCATGCATTTTGTGCATATAGACAATGTGCTCACATCAGAGTGACAAAAAAGAAACTAATGCATGTTTCATCTGTTCCATGTAACGGTTTTCAAGCATACATACCACTTGAATTGGGTTTTTCTGTTTGCGAAGTTTTGCTTGAAGAGCAAGAACATCTCCTTGAGTTCGAAACAACTGCACTTGAAGTTCATCATAACGTTCTCCCATCTCCCGGATCTGTTTGCGGTACTGGTCCTTGTCTTGGAGATTTTTTGAGTTCTCCAAATGGTACTCCTCTCTTGTACAAATAGCCTATCAAATGGGCAGTGCCAAACAATTGTAGCAGTTAATGAAATGCATAGAACAGATACATTTAATAAAATTGAATACCATAGAGAATGGCCTTTATATAAACTAAAATGACCAATCCATCTTATTTTACAACACAGAAGTAAGCTATTTTCTGTGTATGTGCGAGATTTTCGATTCATTAGCCGCAATAAGTAAATAACTAGAACAATATAAAAAAGTGCAGAAGACGGTGAAACTATATTGCACCTTTCCACATATTTGTGGAAAAGTTTCCCTTCAGTGTGATTGAGTTTCAGTGGACAATGAAAACTGAGACTCTATGTGTTCAGCACATGGCCTAGGTTAATCTGGAATTGCTAGATTGGAAAGGTGACGATTTGCAAATCCCTCCTGCTCAGGAGACAAAAAAGCTGTTGTAGTAAATTGTTGAGGTTGTTGCTAAAAGAAACTCTCAAACTCTTGTTGCGTTTTGTTGGAAAATACTGTGAAGCTCTAAAAAGAGAAGCAAGAAAGTTCAGCAAGAAGGGAATTTCGGGGAGCTTGGAAACAGAAACAGAAACATCAACAACGACCAAGCGTGTGCTCCCCCATTTTCAGGACCTTCTGCACCAACTTCAGGGATCCTCCATCTGCATGTACCAGATAGTCTGAATCTTCTGCACATACTTCAGAACATTCAACTAGAAGGTGGAATTTCCCCAATGGAATTTCCAGAGAGGGTGACTCTTTCTTAATTCTTGCTGAGAAGAAGAAATGAACCCTTTTTAATCCTATATATTCTAGATATATATGTGATAACTGTATTAACATGTATCTAATGTCCCATCTCATGATTTTCCTGTATGTTGTTTGGTCTATGTTTCTTGTAAACTCTAATGGGTTAATGTTCCAGACTTTGCATTCTATGGTTAACCAGAATCGTATGTGTGGCATATTTGGTCTCTATAACCTGGTACTTTGAAGATCGAAAGGACTGTGTACATGATATGTCGATAATATCATATTCGTATGATATGTCGATAATAACAACACATTAGCATTACCAGAATCTTTCATAGTTTCTTCTTGCTGGACAAAAACATCATCCGATACTGAATTAATTCCACAGTGACTATCCTTAGAGTTGATATATGATAAACATAATTGATATATTAATATTTAAGTATAATCCATTTTGATTAAGTATTGATAAACAATTGAGCTCATTTTACCGACCTGGATGGAGAACTGATCATGATTCGTTGTGTTCGGCTGTCCAAACAGGCCGTTGGTAACTTTTCCCTTTAGTGGGTAATTTTATAATTTGTAGGTGATTCCCGATTATATAAAACTATATTCCCTGTAATAGAGCTAATCCCGAGATTCCCTACATAGCTGATGCCAGTAATAATCAATCAGTTTATTTGTTGAAATCAGAATAAGGTTCTTCACCTTATTAGTATAGATAAACAACGGTTTATCTTTCCATAAGATACTGTATGTGTAATTGCCATAGTAACACTCAACTCAATCATCTGGATTTAGCAATCTTATGTACTTTATTTCCTTATCCATTCATGGTATTCATTTTAGTAGTGGTTAGTTACTCTCGTCTATCTTTTTTGTTAATAATATTAAAATTATATTACTCTTCCTCTTGTTGATATTAATTAACACAATATTAATTTGGTGCCACCTGTGACACCCTGTAAATTCTGGTGCAGATTGTGGGAAACAGCTAAATTAGTGTTGCCAGTGTAGGCCAGACAGTACAACACTATCTTGATATGCTCTGTCATGCAAAGATAAAGGTTTGATTATACCTTGTCTCTTTCTTTGATCACCTCTTCCAGCTGCTTCAGAATGTCTTCCATTCGATCACGATACATTTTGGAGTCCTTTCTTAGCATTGTGCACTTCAGTTCCAACTCATCCTTCTCTTCTCGATACTTAAATTTTAAAGGAAAAACAAAAAAGTATAGTTATAATAATATGAAAAGCATAATACAAATTAAAGTAGAATTCACTTCTGTCCAGTTTGCATGTAAACAAAGGTTACCTTATCACGCAACTCTTCTGCGTCATGTAGATCTCTCCTTAGATTGTAGAGATCATTCACCAGCTCCTGGTATTGTGCCTGACTTTGTTGCTTTAAATCCTCCAATGACTGTGAACCAAGCTTTTCATGCTCCAGAGTTTTGACCTGTGTGAATGAATTGTGTGTGGTAGTCATCTTTAATCATATCTTGATTAGTGTAGTCTGATAAGTGAGGCTGAGTTACCATGGAGGCACTTTCAAGCTCTTGTATACGAGCTGTAAGAAGATCATTTTCTCTCTGCAGCTGCCAGACCATCTCTGGACTCGGCCTCTGCTCCATGGCATTTTTTAAAGTTATTGTCTTTTTCCGTTGGATCTTTGAGTTACTTTCTGCATTCATTAAGCTGTGTTTCAATTTCTCAATCTTATAGAAATGACCAAAAAGGGGGGAAATAAATACAAAGAGAGAAAAGACAAGAAAAAAGATCAAGTTAGAAAAAACAACGAGAAAAGATATTAAAAAATATTAAATCTAATCTAATAGGCTACTTTCTTCATATTTGCCCTTCCTCCAACGTCAACATGTTACAACCATAAACACAAATAAACAAGTGCATTATATTTCTTATGTAAATCTATACATTTTGTGGTGAACTATGACCCGGACATGTTCCTGTTTCCTGAATCCTGATGGAATGACTGATCACCTCGAGTTGGAGGTCTCTGTTACACATGAGCGCGCAGTTCTTCTCCTCGCTCAGTCGGGTCAGATCGTGCATCAGTCGGTAATTCTCGTCTCTCAGTTTACGCGCTTCCTCGCATATGCGCTCACGCTCCTCTCGGATGCGCTGCACACGGTCCTGCTGTTTGTGAAGCTCGCTGTCCCGCAGCTGCAGCTGGCGGATGGTGTCCAGCTGCTCCGCCGCCTGCGCAGACGCTTCGAGTCGCGCCTTCCGTTCATCCTGTGCGAGCTTCTGAAGGCGAGACACCTCGCTCATGAGGAACTGAGTGAGGCCACATTCGCCGGCAGTGTCTGGTTGGACAGAGAGAGTTATATAAAACCTCTAAATTGCGTTTATCCACCTCTAAATATCCTGTAGTTCCTAAGACATTTTAAATTAAGCTTATGTCTTTTTAGTTTCATATTGTTCATTCATTATTAGTTTCATAAACCTAAGACGAACTCTTTCATATTGCGCTGCATTACAGTGTTGCTGACGATAAGGTTGCGCTGTTGACGCTCGCGCAGCCTCTCGAGGAGAAATCTACACAAATGAGCGCAGCACACACACACTCAGTTAACAACAACAACATACAATCTTAATGTGGAGTTTTTATATTTTTAACATATGTTCAACCTCAATTATTTTTCCTGAACACCATCACGATTGAAAATGTGACATTGATTTCCTAAAACAGGCTGTTTTTGTTCTGTTTCAGCAGTGAAAATAGTTCCAAACAAAAATCACAGCAGAACCACAGCGCATCTCACAGGAACACTCGACCTGTTTTCATTACTGAATGAATCGGCCGTTTGAACGAATCGTTTGAATGAATGAATCAATGACTCACTCATTAAGACGGTCGCCTGCCGCCACCTACTGGCGGTTTAGTGTTATGTTTAAAAGTAGTATCATTCTTTCCAATGTTTCTTATATGTAAATTTAAATCAATTTCATAACATTATTTTATGCATTTGTAAGTTTTCAGTGTAAATGATTTAATTTGATCAGCCCCTAGGCCTAGGGTAACAGCACTATAGTGTCTTGTTATTCGAAATAATTGAATTTATTGATCAAATTTAGGCATTTAAAATGAAAGATGAAGCATACATTTAATAATATTGGGGGAGGGGATGCCCTTTAAACGTGCAGATATTACAATATGGTGATTTAAATATCAAAGCTGATTGAACACTGATGAGAATATTGTTTCAGAATAAATTAACACACACAGAATAAAAATAAAAAATCCGGACGAGCAACTTTTTTACTCGGACAAGTGAATGACAGATTTACTTGTCCGAAGGACAAGCGTATGAAAAGGCTTAATGTCGAGCCCTCCCTATATAGCAATGTCATCAGGATGCACATACACCGGTAGGCAGTGGCCCACCTTACCGGGTGACCACGTCGTGGTCCACCAGAATTTATAGTTTACCCACCTCTTTTTTTACCACTACACCTCTGATCATGACAATATAATCAAGGGGTCTAGCATCACTCCTGGACCCTCAGGATAAAAAGCTAGTATTTTCCTCTAACACTTTGTATTAAATTTCATTTAGAATAACATTACTGCATTTTATAAAACAGTGTTGGTAGGCTACTCAAATGTGATTGACCGGGGGATGCTCCAACAGCATGGGGACTTTTTACTGTATGTATCATCTGCATCTGTGTATTTTCCAGACAGACTGTCAGCATTCGAGGTGGGGAATTTTCAGTGACTCTTTCTGCAGTTTACATTGTAAGACCAGTAGGTGGCGACAAGTGACTGTCTTGTGAGTCATTGAATCAATCATACAATGGATTTGTTCAAAACAGTGATTCATTCAGGCATGAAGTCACTGACTGCGTCTAAAATTACATGCAGTACTTTCTGAGGTACTTCTTTTAAATTAATTACTTATTAACTGGTAAAAAGTATGTTCTATACAGCATGAAAGTGTGTGGAATTAATGTAATCCGGGCATACTTCAGTGCAGTGGTCATGTTGTTACTGTCACGTGACCTACACTGCCATTTACAACTCCTCTCCTGTGGCCTCAGGGGTTAATAAAGTGTCCATTAGATGCGCTCTCCAGAATCTCACCGGAAAGTAGAACATATTGGATTTTTTTTACCTCTCTTTTTTAAATACTGTGAATTCAGGCTTATTACTCTTTTCACATAATGTTTTTTGCCTAGAAGTTACTTGAAGTGGTGATGTGCAGACCAATTGGTGTATGACAACCGCGAGAGCGATTAGAAAGTATACCGAGTGGTTTGCTCTCTAATCGCTCTTGCTGTTGTCATACACCGATCAGTCTGCTTCAAGTTGATCACAATTTCGAATTCGCTCACTCCTTTTTTATTCACTCCTTCAAGTGAACTGTATTAGTGGACTAACATAGGGAATAGTGATTTAGGGTTTAGGGGGCGATTTCGGATTCAGCCCGGCTGTCTTTATGAATGAGTCATTGAATTATTTATTCAACCGAATCATTAAAAAACTCTTGATTCACTCGGGAATCAAATGCCACCGGCCTACGTGTGTTGCTTGGAGATGCGCAATGGTTGAATATGTTTAGATCACACTTGCAATTGTGCTGTTGGTCAGAATATTTTTTGTGGCAATAGTGCCAATGGTGAATCACAACTGTGCTGATGTTCGGATTAACATGACTCTTGCATTATTGCTTAAAAGCTTAAAAGATCTTCAGATAGAAATTAGTTCATGATAAAAATATAATGTAAATATAAGCAAATTCCATATGGTTTATATATACTACCCTAGTCTTTAAGGACCCCCTGGAGTACCTTGTAAATCCTGGCAATATTTAAGTCTGTTCTCCTTTGGTCTATGACGATAGCAGTTATCAGAGCAATTATCCTTTTGCATAAAAGATGTGTAATGTATTTTTTACATGACCTTATACATTCAGAATTTTTTTTATACTAAATGAATAAATTAAAAATGTACAACTTACCAATTAGTACGGAGAAGACCCTAGCAGGCTCTTTGCCAGTGATTTTGCGGTACACATCTGGGTAGTTCAGCTCCAAACTCTCTAAAAATGCCTCATATCCTTTGAGGCCAGTTCTTTGTAATATGTCCAGCAGCACCCCTAAAGTGAATAAAAATACTAATTCCTGAAGTCTCTATAAGTGTTATTATAAGAATATCTGCTTAGAAAATAAGATAGAAAGCTTTGAATTTCACAGTAAATATCCCTTTCAACAACATTTTGTAGCATAATATTTAATGTCTGTAATCCTAACAGTTAAACTTTAGGTGGTCTGACACCTCTTACCAACTTTTCGGCGTCTGATAACCAGACTGGGGTCATTGTAGATCTGTTCCTCGTCCTCGCTGCTCAGAACCTTACACTGTCTCAGATAAGGTGTTATCCTTGAGGGCTCAATGGTCTTGATGAGAAGCATTCTGTAGTCTTCCAGCCGTGCCCAGCACTCATCGTCTTCTTCCACCTCCAAAACTCCTGCGCCATCAGACATGACTGACACTAGCTCTCTGTTGGCTTGATAAGAGTTGTTTGATAGCAAGGTTTAAGGTCAAATGCACATTACACATTTGGCTGGTGTGTAAACGCAAAAAGGAAATGAAGTTCAGTTAGCACTTTGGTGGCAGCAGTTCCCTTTTCCAGTTGTCAGTGCAGTCTTTTTATTTCCCTCTATTTCACAATACATTTTTGTGTTGCAATAAACTGTACGACGGAGCCCCTGGCCTAGAGGGACACGGTGAAAACATTTGCAAGAACGAAAAATGTTTCTTCATCGTTCCTGCCCCTTTAGGGGCTCTGCACTACGGTGGTATTTGGTTGCAGAATGAGTACAGTATGTAACGTTTTTTTACATTTACTAAAGAATTTACAGTCATTCATGAATAATTTATTCAGTGTGTCTCTGATCTTAATTTAGCAGCCTCTTTGAGGCTTCCAGCTCCATGTAAACAACAACAGAGTTTACCAGGCTACTGATATGACTGAAGTTTATCTCACGTGAGTGTACATAACCTTAAACACATTTTTCAAAACTATCATTCTTTTGGTAGTTTTGAAAAACCAAAACTTTTTTTATGAGAAAATAGTGTGCACCTTAAAGGAGTCATGAACTGAATTTTTTATTTTATTTTATAAAATTTCCTGGGGTGCACTTATAATGGTAGGATGATTTTTACAGCAAAAATGGTCATCATTTAGAAATTAAAGGCCATATTCGTTCCTGATTTTAGACTCTGATTTAAAGGGTCTGTTGGAAGGGGCGTGTCTGCTATAAGACTTGAATGTAAACGCCCACTGCTATGATTGGCTGATCTTTGCATATGAAATAAGTATTACATGTAAACTCAATCAAAATATTTTAGCCTACTATGTTTTTACTATTACAGCTTTCAAGATTAATCATGAAAAGAGCTGATTTAGATAAACTCATGTGGCATGAAAGGTTGCAGCGATGAGCTGATGACAGACGTGTCTGTTGAGCACATGAATGCAGTGATCTCCTCATTCCAACTCGATTTCTCTCACAAATGTTTTTAACATAACAGTTCAAACATGATGTAAATAAGAGATTCATTGTGCATTTTAGACGGCGACATTGATTATAATGGGAGTTTTTGCGCAAGTCTAGAACTGTCAGTGACTACGTTTACAAGCTGGTCAATATTCTGGTTATGGTCGGGTTAAGGTCACTATTCGGGTTTCTGAAACATTCGAAATAACCCGTTTATATGCGTGAGCAGAGAGAGTTACTCCTGTTTACATATCCCGATGTAAACGGCGACGTACGGTTAGCGTCTGGTCTGGACATCCTTAAGACGCAATATGCGTCATTTACGATTCTTCTTCCTGTATCCAAAGACAACAACAACAGCACGTGGACAATGAATAGTTCGGGGCAGATAGCGATCGCCTTTGTTTGCGCTTGGTGCTGGTACTGACCCACGCTCCAAAAGTATGGTGCTGTGCTGCGTCTCGCCATGTTTACGTCTACTTCTTGTTTACTTTCGGTATACTGCACGCGGGTTTTTGTATGCGCCAGAAGTTCCTCTACTCAAAAGACCAAGATTTCTTGCGAAAATGCGCAGAACACAAATCAATGTTCCTTTTGATGGGGATATGCCGATACGCGTTTACATGACCAAATATTCGGGTTAGAAAAGGGGTAACCCAGGGCTCATATTCGGGTTTTGAACGGGTTATTGGCTGCTTGTAAATAAGCAGCCAATAACCCGTTCAAAACCGGAATATTAGGAATAACCTGGTCGCGCACGGCCATGTAAACACCGGCAAAAACCCGAATATGTTCATATTCCGGTTTTTAAAAACCTGAATATGGGTTACCCCTCTAACCCGAATATTTGGTCATGTAAACACGTATCGGCATATCCCCATCAAAAGGAACATTGATTTGTGTTCTGCGCATGTTCTATTCACAAGGAATCTTGGTCTTTTGAGTAGAGGAACTTCTTGTGGCGCATACAAAAACCCACGTGCAGTATACCGGAAGTAAACAAGTAGAGGTAAACATGGCGGGACGCAGCACAGCACCATACTTTTGGAGCAAGGAGGAAACCAATTTCTTTATTAGTGTGGTGAAAACCATGAATGTTGCTGCTGCTGTTGTCTTTGGATACAGGAAGAAGAATCGGAAATGACGCATATTGCGTCTTAAGGTTTTCCATACGTCCAGACGCTAACCGTGCGAGGTAGGGAACTTTCATCAAATGGTTTTGAACATACCAAAACATTTATTATATTATAAATTTACGATTTGCAAAACTGTCATACTTTTTGATTCTATAAGTTGCACATTATGATCACATAATATAAAAGCATAAAAAATATAAATGCTTATAATACAAAGACAAATGACAAGACATTTCACAATTCTACATAATTTATTCAAGAAACAATAACAGCAACAAAACAAAAGTATAAAATAATTTAACAATAATTTAACAACAGGTCTGTGCAAATTCAGTGTCTTTTTTTCTCCAAGAAAATTGCCAGGACACAAACAAAACATGTGGATGGAGTAAAATAAATCAGTGCTAAGAACACAGAATATCTGACTGGTCCCTTAAACTGATAAAAAGTCAGATTGAACAGAATCTGAAGCTATTAGCACTGGTGCACAATTGAACAGTATGGATTCTGTATGGATATTGAACAACTGATGAATCCTATGTAACTTGACGTAAACTCCTTTGCCTTTATGTAATGATTCCTGAGAACTGTTTTGCTGATGCTTCGTTTTCATTCATGTTAAGCTCAATCTTCTGAAAGAGAAAAATACGTTAGCACAAAAAATAAAAAAACAAACAAACAAAGGTTGCTTCAATGTTAAGCGCAACTTACTGCAACTGGTGGGTGAACTCTTTTTCCCCTCTGTAGTAAAGGTAATTCCTCCTCCTCATCATCATTGTTATCTGTGGATGACTCGCATTTCTCGTTCTCAGAGGGGTTTATGGTGGCCAAAAGAGCTGGTAAGGTAAAGCACGACAAGAAACGAGCCTTGAAAAGCAGGTACGCTGGATTTGAGGCAAACCTTTCGGCAATCATTTTGCGGATGGCAGCTACTTGAGCTTCTTCTCCCATGTCATTTTGATACTCAACTGGAAGGCTTTTCACTGCAGTTGTAAGCAGAGATTGTTTAGCCTTGAGCAAAGAAGTCAGTGTTTTGATGCTGGCGGCAGACGGTGGAAGGTAAGGCAAAGACATCTCTAGATGAGGTATGGGAATTCCACCTTTTCCATTTATCCAGTCCTCTACTTCAGATGACTGCTCAGGAAATATCAAGTGAGGATCGAAGCTCACACCATCAGAGGGAGGATCAGGAGGAATAGGGATCAATGGATCATTTGATGTTGTGAATTGAGGTACTACTGATGGAGCTGCAACAAGAGGTGATGGAGCTACAATACGAAGTGATGGAGCTACAACATGAGGTGACGGCGCTACAAAATGAAATGATGGAGCTACAAACTGAGGTGATGGAGCTACAACATGAAATGATGGAGCTACAATCTGTGGGGCAGGAGCCAGACGTTGGAGATGTCTTCTAGAAGCACAAATTGGTCTCGATCTTGTGACGGGCAAACTTTTCTGTTGGATGACAGTTGGCAGCTGACTAGTTCTCACAGGAAAGCAGCCATTTTCAGAAACACCACAAGGCTTTACCACTTCATTTGTTGGTCCACTAGCGAAAGCTGGCACAGTTAAGGGAACCGGAAGAATACTGGCAACAGCATGAGATGCACTGGGACCTGTTGATGGAGATGACTGACATTGCCTTACAATGGTTTCATCAGAGGAGGAGTCTGATGAGTTCTTTGTAGATTCAACATGAGAACCTCCCTGGTCAACTTTGGTAGGTGCTTGGGATAACATACTTTGGTTCAATACTAAACTAGTAGTAGTTGAAGGAGGCATCTGGATGCATGAATTATTACCTCTGGGGCTAATGTTCATAGAGGAGGAAGTCTTTTGGGTAAAGCTGGAGGCATAAGAGACTGAAGAACTTATAAGGCCAGGATTGACAGAGGAAGAAGCAACAACAAGGGCAGATGACGATGGGTATAAATTGGTTAAGGTGTATGGACGAATACTGTTATTTAGCAGGGAATTGTTTGGCACGTTCAGCATCTGGTTGCTTGGGATATTGGCAGAAAGTGGACCAGTTACTTGTACTAAACCGGTGGGGCTAAGAATCCAGTTTACTGGCTGTGCCTGCAATGTAATGGTCGGTAAAGCAACATTTTTGCTCTTTTTTTGTTTCGGTGGCTCTTTTTTTGTACTTTTAACTTTAGCTTCTTCCATTTGGGCTTGGACCTTCTCAGTAGGTTTGCGAATGCGTTTCATAGATTGGATGCTGTTTGAGTCCTCTACACTTGGTGATTGGGACGTTGAGGTTGTGATGGGTTGCGCTGGCGGTGTCTGTTGTAGTAGCGGTAGAGGAATCGGTGATATAGCTTGCGGTGGTGACTGTGGTAGCAGTGATATTTTCTGTCCTTTAAGCATTAAAGGTTGCACTGCCTCCTGCATGTTTGGCTGTGTAATGACAATATTGTTGGGATGAATTAAAGCAGGGGGCATCATCTGCCTGTCTGGCAACTGGGGAGGGTCAAGGTGATGAACTGGCTGCAGAGGAGGTGAATGTTGAGGAGGTTCTGCAGGTTTCTTGTGTTCAGCTTTCTGGTTTGCTTCCTGAAGCATCGCTGCCACTGTTTTAGGAGGATCTATATAACCATAGGAACGACAGATTAACATTATGCATGTTTTGACAGAAATAACTGGAGCTCTTTGGATGTTGTATTTTAGCTATTTTATTTCAATACTTTAAAATGGATAAATATAAAACTGAGATACCTGTTCTCGGCTTAGATATAGCAATAGGCTTCTGGAAAAAGATGACACAAGAGAGAACAATTGACAACACTGATAGAACACTAATCTTCAAGATATTAACTTATTTAAAAAATTACTGCATATTTTTAAGCATATCAGAAACAAAGCAGGGCTGCCCCTAACTAGAAAATTCTTAGTCGAAGGCAGCCCTAAATCAAAGTATGATAACTATGCTAATAAATGTAAGATGCTGGATTGATAAATAAATACCTCAATGCTTATCTTTTGCTGAATTCCAATGACCTTTCTGCAACCCATGACATCTATGTGAAAAGCCTGTTTTCAGACATAACACAAAACCATGTAAAACCCTGTAATCTTTGTTTCTTTTATTTCATCATAAATGTTGACAAAGATGTTAGGCTTACTTTGATGAAAAATAAAAGCACTGATGTCTTTTGGAGAGGGATGTCGGCTGCTTTTATTCCAACAATATCACCTGTAAAGTGATTATTGATAAATAACTGACAACAAAACATATGCATTGAACTATTCGCTCATAACTAGGCCTACATGGAATCTGAAGACTAGAAAAGTCAATTATGTCAAATAAAATGGTTCTCATTTTAGTTTCATAATGAGATATCTTGGTAGTGAAGCATAAAAAAGGGCAAAACTCCATCAGAAATTGATATCTTGATATCTCTATTATATCTGTGGTCGCTAAAACATTGCTTTAGCATCACTTTAGCTATTGGTATCATTATCCAGTAATCTGCCTGACGAGTCATTTCAGAAGGAGTGCAAGTTTGATTAAGAAATACAAATTAAGTTTTTTATGCAAACTCCATGCAGGGCTGCTTATAACTAAACCACATATTTTCAGGTGTTTTGTCAAAAGTAAAACAAGGGTCTGTACCTTCGCAAAATGTGTTGTCTGGTGGAGGCAGGATCACATTACCAATCCATGGGGTTATAGCTTTCAGGAGGTCATTTTTAAGGCTGAACATGTCCTGAACCATCCTTCTTTTCTTTTTATTTCCTGGACATCCCTGGACTTTCTTTTTATTTCCTGGACTCTAGAAAGTTGATAATCAATATAAAGTATATATATTTTATATAAATATAGTAAATATACTGTACAAATGTAACCTTAAATAATATTATTCAGACTTAAAGGGTTAGCTCACCCAAAAATGAAAATTCTGTCAGTAATTACTCACCCTCATGTTGTTCCAACCCCGTAAGACTTTCGTTCATCTTCAGAACTACGTGAACTAACTCGAGGCACACAGAGAAGGAAATGGAGAGTTGAATAAAGTCGTTATTTTTGTTTTGTTTTTTGCGCACAAAAGTATTCTCGTCCCTTGATAAACTTAAAATTGAGCCACTGTAGTCACTTGGACTATTTTAACGATGTCTTTAATAACTTTTCTGGGCCGGCAAGTTTCAATCCCTTAGAAGCCTATGATCCAGCTCTCAGATTTAATCCAAAATATCTTAATTTGTGTTCCGAAGATGAACGAAAGTCTTACGGGGTTGGAACAACATGAGGGTGAGTAATTACTGACAGAATTTTCTTTTTGGGGTGAACTAACCCTTTAAGACTGTTAAGGCAGAATATTGTCTTTCCAATATCGTACTTATTTTTTTTAAGGTTACCATATGCTCGCCACTTGCTTTTGGCAACCATTTTCTATTATCTTTAAACAAATATTAATAATGTAAGTGACTTATGGTATTTACTATAAATGTAACATCTAGCATCATTTCTGTTAACACACGTCTTTATTACCAATGCTCCCTTCCACTGCATGAAGAGTTTAATATCAATCCCTGCCACCTTGATCATGGCCTTCTCATCGTCCGTCTGCATGCATGACAAAAAAAAATTCACTTTACGAAGAAGAACTGCAGAACATATAAATCTACATTGATCTGCAAAGAAAAGAGAATGAAGAAAGTAAACATCTTACCTGTCTCTGCAGAACAACAGGATTCATACCCACATAAGTTCTTTCCATGTATCCAAAACGGTTCAGGATGGTGTTGCGCACCAAAATGGATCTGACTTTCGGACACTTGCTCTCCTCTGATCGAATGCGGCCTAACCCAGATTCTTTAGTGGATTCCTGTAGTTCCTCCTCATCGGTGGGAAGACGGACCCACGCTGTCCTGAGAGTTCCTTGAGGAAGAAGCAGTGTGTTCGTAGGTATCCATTTCTTCATATCTGGCTGTACATAGTGCTTTCGTGGTATTTCCACATCTTCGACTAAGGGCGGATCTTGTTCATCATCACTGTCCATATACTTCAGTGATTTTTCATCCTCAGAGCTGGAGCAGATTTCCATTCTAATTTTTCTTAACACTTTTCGTCTTTTTGCTGTTTGTTGTCCTGTTGTTTGCTTCATTTCTCTTTTTGTGCCTTTATTTTGACTCTAACCAAAAAAATAACAACAGTGTGTATGATTATTCACGAGATGTATTCTTGTTGAATGCTGCAAGACATACTGAAGAATGAACTTACAGGTTTTGTCATTAATTTCCACTTGTTCAGGCACTGGCAGTCAACCCGGTTTGGGATCTCTGAGGCAATCTTACTCCACTTGCCTGGACAATTATGATACACAATTGATAAAGACAATTTAGAGTCTTTAGGATACAGTATGGATACATTTTGGTTGGCCAAAAAAGCAATACAAGTGGTTAGAGCTCTTTTGTGGTTAGAGCTCGGCTGACACAGTCTCTAGATTGAAAATAACTATTGTCAATGTGAGGTTGTCAACCAGTGTCAAAGCTGCAATGTTCACACTAAACATGAACCAATTAGCAGTGAGGTCAAAGCTTGACTTCAAAAGTAAAAGTCAAATAAAATCTGTTGGTTTAAAAATTCTCTTTGCACGAGTCTTGAACTGGCCTTGATGTAATGGTCATTCGTTATTTAGATGCAGTACTGTTCAAAAGATTATGGTCGGTAAGATTTTTTTTTTTTTTTTAAAGAAATCTCTTGTGCTCACTAAGGCTGCAATTATTTGATCAAAATACAGTAAAACAGTAATATTATGCAATATTAGAACAATTTAAAATAATGTTTTTTCTGGTTTCATACATTTTAAAATGTATTTTTTTTCTCGTGATGACAAAGCTGAATTTTCAGCATCATTATTTCAGTCGTCCTTCAGAAATCATTCTCATATGCATATTTAGTGCTCAAGTTAATATATTTGTAAATGCATTTTTTAACAAGGTCTATTTATTTAAGATTTTGTAATATACAAGAAAAGAAAACACAAAAACCAAACCGGTACAGAATATACAGTCAAAACCCTAACACAAACCATCCCTCTACCCATTAGACAAAGTATCAATTACATTGTAAAAAAAAACATTACCATTCTATTATCATCTATTACACATATTTTGGGACTGTATTCCCTCCTTGAATATTTCAACAAATGACAAGAAGGGTTGCCAGATTGCATACATATCTGGGTAGACCCTTTGAGGAGAGTCTCTTATTTTTTTCTAGTTTAAGATATCGCATGATCTCCTTAATCAAATGAAAAGTGGGGGCAGGGTATCTGCACACTTTTTAAAGTCAAATTTAAGGCTTTTTAAGACCTTTTTAAGACCTGAAGAAATCAAAATTAATACCTTACATTAGGGGTGCGCAATATTGAAAAAAGAATGTCTCAATATTTTCAAAGTTTTGTTGATGATAATTAGATGATATTTTACTGATTGTGTTTGTGTACTGGTACCATGGCTGGTTTAGGCCTGTTGTTGACAGCTGACTCACGAAGATATTCATATTTTTCATATTCTATGCAGTGGTCAGTTCACAGCAGTGAAAGGAATTAACATTTTTTTATTAAAGGGCAATATTTGCAACCTTAAATTGAGTTCCAGGGGCATTTTCACCCATATATGGACTTTTTTTTTTTTTTTTACTTAGAGGTATGCATCACCTTTTATGTCAAATTCTAACATTCAAATTAAATTATATTAGAATAATAACACAATACCACTGTTACCAGTTATATTAAATCATTAAATCAAAATCCATCTTTGCAGTGCAGAGGAGACACAGAAGCAGCATCAGAACTGGCATTAATATATTTATACTCCATTTACAATTGCATAAATAAAGCTATGATATATTCAATTCTTTCAATTCTTAATTCAATATTTAAATATGAACTGATTTCTAATTGTAACATTTTAATTACAGGGTACTTTAAATGTGAAACTAAACCCGCCAGTAGGTGGCGGCAATCTCAGGGAGTCATTCATTCAAACGATTTGTTCAAACGGCTGATTCATTCAGGAACTGCAAGTGATTGTTCATTGAATCGTTAAAATGATTCGTTCAAAACGCGGATTTCAGTCAAGAAATCATCGCTGTCTTTTGCATTGAGACTCTGCTACGGTTTCATTTTGAAATTCTCGTCAGCGAAATAAAGGGAAAACAAACAATATTGACAATATTGTTTATAAAATGTAACAATGTTAATTTAACTGTTATATAAAATAAATATTATATTTGATATTGTGCACGGGAAAACAGCCCTCTTGCTGATGTAATATTGTATGATAACAACATATGATATATAAAATACAAAAACTTTATACGTCTATTAGGGAACATACCTATAACTGCACATCACGCAGTGAAAGCAAGCATGAGAGACAAATGCGATGTCAGCTCGCAGTGCGCCCTCGTACATAGTTGACGTTAAAGTAAACCAATGATTACAATATCATAATAGACAATACACATCGCACACCACTACGCACATAAAGAATGAACTTACAATTGAACTGAAATTAACCAGCTTTCTTCTCCTCTCCTGCTGTTTCGCGTGCAGGAGACAGACGTAATGCTGGCGCGAATGTGACGCGAAATGTCACGTGAACGAGCAAATCCACAAAGAACGAATAGTAAATAAAAAAGTACGCTAATTAGATAGTTTTAATTTGGAAAACATTTAGATATGTCTAACTCAAATTGCCATTGAAAATTTAAGACCTTTCATAAGTCAAAATAAGACTTTAAGACTTTTTAAGGCCATACATTTTTAAAATCTAATTAAAGACTTTTTAAGGACCCGCGGATACCCTGTGGGGGGAATAGGGTCTTTCTATTTAAACAATACTAATCTTCTGGCAAGTAGTGTGCAAAAGGCCAGCATTTTACAATTATAACTACTTAGGCGCATGTTCTGTGCTGTGCCACTGAATATAGCAATAAAAGGAGATGGGTCTATTGGTAATCCTATTATTTCTGAAAATGCATCAAAAAAGATTTCCTAAAGTTATACAAACTTGGGCATGTCCAGAACATATGTAAAAGGCTCGCAGGAGCCTTATTTGTTAATGTATTTAAAAAACAAAATTGTATTGACCTCAAACTTTTGAACAATAGTGTATATCAAATATGCAAATAAATAAATAAATAAATAAATAAAAATTAAGAGGGAAATCACTTACCAACACCATATTTCTCCACCTTCTGTTTTAGTAGTTCCACCTCCTCTTTGCTCCAAGGCCCCTTTTTCACATTCTCCTGAAGACAATCCAAATACCTAAGTGAGAAAAATATTCACATTTACATATCAGGTACCAGTTGGCCTAAACATCTTTTATACCGTACCATTTAGTGCACGAGTCAATCCAGCAAGTTCGATTTATGAGTTGAGATGATTTCAGGGACGTTATTTTGAAACATTAGTTGCAGAGCATAAATTTACTTTTTTCTGAAATGTGTCATACCTGTCACGACAAGCACCGTCGGTCCTGCCTGGCACTTCTACTCTGATTTTCCCCCATTCTCTGGTGCCATACTTTGCGACAGCATTTCGCAACATCTGATATGAGAGCAGTAAGTCAAATTAGTGAACGTGTGATTTTAGCAGGTTAAGGAACAGCAAAAAGACATGCATGTGTGACTGCAACAGATATTAAAACTGAAACATTGTGTCTCTACAGTGATCCAAAAGCCTTTGTTTCTAATTTATTAAAATTAGTTCCTACACATTTTCCATTTCAAAACTCCATACTTTTTTCCAGACCATTATATTTCACATAAATGGTTCATACAGCATTATTTTTAGCATTATATACAGTCTATAAATATTTTTAATTTTCTCTTTTTTTTTCATTGGTTTTCTCAAAGTGATAAAATGTGCTTACATGTTGAAGTACCTAAAACACTTAATAACCTCTTTTCTTTACTTCTGACACTGTAAATGTGGTTTCATGTTGCACGATCGCCAACCAGCAAAGTAAAACTGATTTAGATAATCGTTTGCTCCTTTATCTGTTGCTGGTTTGGGTGGCACACGCACATTCATTTAGTGTGGTTCAAAAGAGACTCGCTTATGGTAAAGACAAACAGTTTGGCGTAATGAAAATCTGCACCTTGAATACATTCAGTCGTGTTCAACAATCACAAAAAGGATCACTAAACTTTGGCCATGATACATTTTAGATTTTAGAAAACTGGATTCAGGCAATACGCTGATTTCACGCAGCCGCCATTTTGAAATCGAAAGCGAGGCTCCGGTGGGAAGAACCCCGGAAGTAAAGATAAACAACAATGCCTTGGACTACCAACCTGAAGCTGCTGCCGCGATGTACACTTTTGGATGTTAATATCCAATATAGGATATGTATATAGTTTGTTCCTGCTTCATTTTTTTACTTTCTGAATTATATATATATATTATATATAATTTTTTTTTTATACATGAATTGCACTGTATATAGGCTAAAGTATGAAAGAAATGTATGTACATTTTTAGAATAACTCATTTCTACATTAAACACAACAATACGCCAACGCATTCGCGACTCTCCTGTGATTAAAGGCGGCACTTCCCACCGGAGCCTTGCTTTCGACTTCAAAATAATGGCTGTGTGAAATCAGCGTATAGTCTGGAAACTCAGTTTTCTTTTTTCCCCATAGTTATCTAGACCTGGAAATGACTCAAATTCCATACACTTCAAACTACGTAAGAATCCTGATTAAATGATGTCCCATACCTGGTCCTCCTCTTTGGACCAGTGACCTTTCTTTAAAGAGGGATCCAGAACGGACGACCAGCGATATGACAGCTGTGATCCATCACGGCCCACCATGAAATATGACACTATGGAGATAATAAATATTACAAATATATGGCTCCTATGATACATACTTGTTTTCAAAATACAACTAAAGTAAACCAGTAATCAATTAAACCTGTCATAAAAAACACATTTTTGCATGTTAAACAAATTGTAAAATATACTATTTTAAAAAAGTGCAGGTGGATGCAAGAACACATCATGTGTGAATGAATTCCTCACAGTTTTCTTATTGGTTTTCTTCTATTTATAGAAAAATTACATCTACATTATATATCACCTATTCTACTTTGAATGTGACTCATCTAATCTGATTTCAGAGTCAGAATGATCTGTTTTAGAAACAAATACGCCACATCCAGTACAAGAACTCAAGAAGACCCAACTGTCTTACTCTGTATGTAAGGAATAAAGTTGCCGATTCTCATTTTTTCAACAAGGTCTTTGAGGATCTGGTCTTCTTCCGGTGTCCACTCTTTCCTTCTGAAGGTCTTCGAAATGTAGCGCTGGTAGGTCTGGAAGCACATGAAGGCCGTTCTGTTTGTCTGGAAGGGAAATAACAAGAAATATATATGTCAAAGACATTACATTAATGGTAGGTTGCATTGTTAAACATGTTAAAAATTTAAAACCATAATACACAGCATATTAACATAAGCAGCTATTTTGAAAGTGCATGAATTTCTCTATCCTTACCCCAAGAGCCTCTGCGATTTTGTCCCAATGGCAGCAATTGAATTCTTCTACAATTCCTTTCAGTTGATCAATCTCATCCTGTTTCCACACCGACTTGTTAATGGAGGGGTGCAAAAAGTTCTGCCAGAACCTTTTCAAATCGTCAGCCCGTCTCAAACCTTCAAACTACCACACAGAAACAAGTCCTTTCATGCTTTTAAAATGAGAAATGTATGTTAGAAGATAGTACAAGATGTATTTGGCTGCATGTCAATAAAACAACTACATAACTTACGTCAATATTTGATATTTTCTCCCAGTCATGATCGTCATGTTGTTTGCCCACCAGCTGATCATCTTTCAGGGTGCTAAGGTGATATTATTGAGTTTGATTACACATTTTATTGCACAATAAGTACACTGACATTCAAAAGTTTGAAGTCTGTAAGGTTTTTATTGTTTTTAAAAATGTATTCATATAATGGTAAAGCTGAATTTTCAGCGGTCTTCAGTGTCACATTGCCCTTCAGAAATCATTCTAATATGATGATTTGCTGCACAAGAAAAAACCTCTTCTTATAATTAATGTTGAAAACAGTTGTGCTGCTTAATATTTTTGCGGAAACCATGATGATACTTTTTTTCAGGATTCTTTGATGAATAGGAAAGAAAAGAACAGCATTCATTTGAAATGTTTTATAACAGTATAAATGTAGTTTATATACAGTATATATATATATATATTATTTTTTTTAATCTTACTGACCTTAACTTGAACTTTTGAATAGAAGTGTAGGTACAACCTTACAGGACATCATCTCTGAGACAAGGTGCTTAAAATGTCCTTACCTTATTTTGGCAATTTCTTGCTCAATTAATTCAATTTGCTTTTTCAACTCCTCTTTTCCCTCAGCCTCAACTCTAGACATCTTGGCACTCAAATACTCCAGCCTATGAAAACCCAGATGATTGCAAGCTCTCAGAATGTAATAAAATATATATAAACAGCAAGGCCAACAATAACCAGATATTTAGGTTTGCTTTTCCTTTTTTCTGGAACTCACTTGGATAGTTTGGGTTGTAGCATCCTTTTCATAATGTCTGTGGCGACTGCGTTAGACAGCAAAGTCTTCTGCCAACCCTCCCCTGAAAGACATTACCACATGTTTTATTTTTATATATAAAAAAATCTTCCAAGTAACAAGACGCAAGCACAATGTCTTAAAACATACATCTTCTTATTTTCAGCTCATCAATCGGTCTGGTACCGTGACTTAGCCTTTCTTTAGTTTCTGGATTTGATGGAGGGCCCTGGAGGAAAATAAAAAGAATAAATTACTTCAGGCAAAAAAAGTCAATAACGATACTGAAATGCATGATTTCACGGATACCCCCCAAAAAATACAGATTTCCAGTATTACTTTCATCACATACCAGACTGGTGAGTTTGTCTTTAAAGTAAGGCTTCATGAAGTATCCAAGAAAAAGTTTCTGAGAGGGAAGTCCTTGAGCGGAGGAGCTAGACGTGCTTGGGCCAGAGAGCTGAGCCTTAATCTCTTTCTGTGGAGATACAGTCGGATTTAAATGAGTGATAGTGTAATTTAACTCATGCAATCGAGTAGCATGAACACTCAGTGTCAATGAACTACAGCCCAGATGTTTGTTGTTCACCTGTTGCTGTTGATTCTCTTTGAGGAGCCGTTCCAGCTCAGATAGTTTCTCTTTCAGCACCTCCTGATAGACAAGATTCATTTGCAGGCAAGTCTCCACATTTTGCGGAAGATTCAACTCATCATCCCCGTCACTGTCTTCATCACTCTAATGAAAGTAAAACAATTGTATAAGCATTTTAAAAAAATAAGAAAATGTAAATAAATAAATAGCAGCAAAAGCATGTATGAAGGAAGCAAAGCAGTAACTCACAGAATCAGTTCCATGTTCACTGTCTGTTTCACAAAAAAAAAAGAAAAAAAAAAGGTTGATTAGCAGAAGACCATATGATGAAATACTACTGACCTATCAGATTACGCGTCAAATATTTAAAAGCAACAACCCACTAATTTCAGCATAAGTGCCCATGGAGAATGTGAAGGTTAATTTGTTTTAAGTAAAAAAATCACGGTATGTTTAGAATAATATTATTTACCCTGCAATACGTTAGCCAGTGCTGCATTAGCACCAAGTGTATTTTCCAACTCCTCAATCTCCCTCTGAATCCGCTGCCTCTCTGTCTCCAAGTCATCATGCTTCAAGAGGGAGTTACAAGCATATTTATTAAAAAAATGACATTTCATTTCTATAGTGTGTTGTATTAACCAGACGGCTTTCTAGATTCTTACCAATCCTTCAATCACAGGCACACTGTCATCAGATTCATCATCTGTCATGGAAACATAATATGACATTAACATAGCCCCCAACTTTTTGACAAATTAATTCACATGACCATTCCAGGTAATCACTTCATTAACTCATCAATAGACCACTACCGAATCATTTAGAACATTTTGTGAATCAGTGTAATCAATTATTCACTTATAAATTGAACATATATATACCAGCAATATATGATTTTATATATTTCCAAGATAGTTTCTCAAGTCCCAGTAAGATGCATATCTCTACTACCTAGACAGCATTTGGGGGCGTCATGGTTGTGTCAATGTGATGGGATGTCCAAAAACAGTGTTTAAGAGACAGTGACTCACCACTGTTACTGTCAGATGACAGTAGGTCTATGATGCTGCTGTCTGCACCTAAAGAACTCTCAAGAGCCAAAATCTCCCTCTGGATTTTTTCCCTCTTCGCAAGCAAGTCATCCGATGCCATTTTAGACAAGATGAAACCTGAAAACCCAACTTTTTTTTAATACAGATTACTGGGTCATAGCACTACACAATTTTCGCCGTGTGGACATGTACTTACATTAGCTTTCTTTTAATGCATAATTCTGCTTCAGTATTGCAGCTCTTCTATAACACAAGCACAATAATAAGTCCTGCTGGATCCTGTAGCATCACTGCTCGCGTTTTTGAATATCTCACTCAAATCTAACTGTACAGCCGCATGTTTAAAAAGAGTGCACTTGGGGTCTTTGAACTAGATTTACATTTATTACTAAATCGAAGTCGTTGCTTTTAATGACTGACTTCAAATATAACCATAATTTATATGAACTTATTCAAACTGTTAAGAATGATTCTCCCCTGATAAAACTATGATTCGTTCATAGAACGTTAATACGTTATGCGTATGCAAACACGAAGCGCGCAGCAATTGTGCGTCATCTTCACTGACGCTTCATAATAAAGGTCCACCCTTCATCGACCCTTCACCATCGGAGTGTTAATTACAACGTAAATTAATGCACATTAAATGAGCACTTATTGCTTTAATATTTAGCATGACTATTGTATGTTCAAAATACAGTGGTGGACAAAATTATTAGAACGGTACATGTTTTTAATGTTTTAAAAGAAGTCTCTTCTGCTCACCAAGGCTTCATTTATTTGATCCAAAATACAGCAAAAACAGTAATATTGTTAAATATTTTTACAATTTAAAATAATTGTTTTCTATTTTAATACATTTTAAAATACAATTTATTCCTGTGATCAAAGCTGAAATTTCAGCATCATTACTCCACTCTTCAGTGTCACATAATCCTTCAAAAATCATTTTTTTTCATTACCTTACAATTTCTTTTCAGGATTCTTTGATGAATAGAAAGTTCAAAAGAACAGCATTTATCTGAAATATAAAGCTTTTGCAGCATAAAACATGTCTATACTGTCACTTTTGATCAACTTAATGCATCCTTGCTGAATAAAATTATTAATTTCTCTAATTTATAAAAAAAAAAAAAAAAAAAAAAAAAACTGTTACTGACCCCAAACTTTTGAACGGTAGTGATAACGTTACAAAAGCTTTCTATTTCAGATAAATGCTGTTCTTTTGAACTGTACATTTCCATTCATCAAATAATCCTGAAAAAAAAATGTACACATTATTTAATCCACATCAATTGAATTGGCTCTATCACTCTCTCTCCTCTCCACCTATAGAGAGCGCTATATCCTCCTGGGACCCAAGAATAGACTTTTGTCCACTGTAGTGGACATTATATTTTAGTGAATTTCTCTGACATCATACATGTCACATGACACAACCTGGCTGTCCTGTAAAGAGCACATTCAGGACTTTTCAGAGATACCAAATGTTTGGAGGTTTCACCATGAAAACAACTTCTCCTTGGTCTTTAAAAATGTCTGACATTAATTTAGTGATCAAATGTAGCATTCTTATGGAAATATGATAATATAGTGTAATTATAATATAAATTGGACTACTTTTCAAATTGTATTTCATAAAACAACATCTCAGGAAAATGTTAAGGGGTTTAAAAAAAAAAAAAACTTTCTGTTACAGAACAGGGCATTGATTTCAAACGTGTCCACTGTAGAGGACATCAGGACTAAAATCATGTTTATCAGGCATTCTGGGAGACACAACAAGTGAATATGGAAATAAATTATACATCAATATTCCTATGAAATGTTAGATATTGTTATTAAAATGTTGCCAATTATTACTCCAATTATTACCCTTTATTCTTTCATTAAATGTTGCTCCCAGAACACATTAATGTGCAAATTAGATACAGTGTATAGATACATTGCATTGAATGGGAATATTAACTTATGGCCATTTTACCCACATATTGCAAAAAGTAAAATGGTGTATCAATTCATTCCATTATTTCTTTCATAACATAGTTGAGAATAATCTTTATACAAATTTTGGTTGAAAAAATCCTGAAACCCCAAAATGTATTGGTGATTGAAAAAAAAATCCCATTGTTTTTGCCTATACATATAATTTCATGTCATTTTATTTTTTAAACAACTTAGTCCTGGCGTCCACTACAGAGGACATAGCATAACGTATGAATAAAATATTATTTTATATATGTGTTTTGTTACCATTTGTTTATTGTGCTCTAAACAGTGTGATGACATGGAAAAAAACTAAATTCAAAAAACTTTTTTTTTCTGGGTCTCAGGAGGATATAAATGCCTCATTTTTCATTCTCTCATTCTCACAACTGTTTTCAACATTGATAATAATAATAAATGCTTCTTGAGCATCAAATCATCATATTAGAATGATTTCTGACAGATCATGTGACACTGAAGACTGGAGTAATGATGCTGAAAATTCAGCTTTGACAACACAGAAATAAATTGCATTTTAAAATATATTCAAATAGAAAACAGATATTTTAAATTGTACAAATATTTCACAATATTACTGTTTTTGCTGTATTTTGGATCAAATAAATGAAGCCTGGGTGAGCAGAAGAAACTTCTTTTAAAACATTAAAAAATATTACCATTCTAATAATTTTGGCAACCACTGTATATCAAATTGTATATAATAAAATGGTTTTATGATTTAGCATCTATTTAATGCAATTTCAGGACACTAAGTGTTAAATTCTAAAAGAACAATAGGGCCATATGATTAAAAAACATCTTTATTAAGTCAATAAAGAGCATTATGAATATAAGGCACTTCATCCAATGCTGATTAGTAAAGTGTTGTTTAAATAAACAATTAACTAAAATGCTGTAATTTAAAACAGCAGAACTATAAAAATGTGTTAATTTATATATATATATCAATATACAATCATGAAATACAAAAAATCTTGTAAATATTATGTAATATAATTTTAAGAAAGGACTTATTTGACAAAAGTGCAAAAGGTTTTGAAAATAAACTACTACAACATATTGCTTTGATTTTGTTGAGAGAATCCAAGGCACTATTTGGTGCACTTAAGTATCTTTAGGGATTATTTGGCCTAGCACACCTCATTTTGCCATTTCATAAAACCTAAACAGATGTTAATGAAGTAGATGAATAAAATAATGAACAATGAAGCACCACAGTTGGGTCTATATTGTACAGAACATAATGTTTGGATGTGAAAGGGAAACACTTAATCATGAATCTCGGTGATCTTGTCAATGGAGGTCAATAACTGGGATACAAAATAGAGTGTCTCTCTTCCTGTCAGCAACTGCCTGTAAACATACACAACACTTTCAGTGCAATGATTTGATTCATTTACATTTCTGACCATTATTAATAGAGAAGAAGTCAAACATAATTGTCATTGTTAACCATACTTGATAGAAGTCTCTGCATCTTGAGCTGCTTTGTTAAGGTACTCAGAGGCTACTTGTGCATTGTGTCTCATTGTGGTTAAGGCTGTAGTTTCTCCATTTCTAAGCCTTTCATTTTCACTTTTATATCCTTCAATCTGGCCCTAAGAAAACGATAAAATAATCATAAAGGTGGAGTTTTAATCTGAACAAAAACAGAAGTGAAATAGTCATTTTGAACACAAATTCACACAAAGTTCACAAACATATTATATAGTAGTATATATAAATGCATTACAGTATATAGTGGTATATACACATATAAATGCACCATTAGTGTGCTTTTTCAGTGTGCTTGTGCATATGGAAAGAAGTCAAACCTGGAGTTGGTTTAGATCTTGTTTCAATTTTGAAATAGTATTTTCAGCCTTGACTGCCCGCTTCTGTATTCAATAAATTGGAATTTCTTGAGTGCAGTAAGGATAAAACATCTTCATCTTATTTTTCAAACCTTAATCTGTCATATGAATGACAATGCTTTATACCGTCATTAACTGAAGGTTTTGTTCTACTGACTGCACCATCGTCTCCAAAGCCTTAGCCTCTCTCTCCTCCTGTAACTTCTTGTTGTGCAACTCATCTGTGAGTTGTTCGATCCTATTACAAATTGGAAAGTTTAACCATAAGAAATAATCTACAGAACTATAGAAGCAACCAGTGATCTTTAATTACACAGCAGCAATACTGACACACTTCAGTCCATTAATTACCTCAGAATCACTGTAATTACTTTGCATAAATACATTACATTCTGTGTAAAGAGCCTTACCTTCTGGAGTCAGTTTCTGATCTTCTAAGGAGTTCTTTGATTTGCTTTCTGAGTAAAGAATTTTCTTCTCTGAGCTAAAACACATTCAAGTCAAAATTGAATAAAAATGGACAATGGAATAATGACATCTCTTTTTTTCTCTGATGATAAGTTTACTGGTGTGAGGGTGGGACAACCTGTCACTCACATGAAATCGACCAATAGCAAACCACAACGATCCAATCAATTCCAGATGGACAAAATCAAGTCCTGTACGTACTACAGCTTTTCTTGTTCGAGAAGCCGTTTCATTCAAATATACATCACAATAAGGAAGAAAAGACTATCGCTTCTTCAGTTTCACGTCGACTTGAGAAACATTTATTTTGAAAAGAAGCACCAATTATAATATAACAAACATTCAGCTCATGTGTATGCAGAAACTCACACCATGTACACAACATACCTGTTGAGCATGCTTTGTGCCGATTTCAGCATTGTTCCTCTTAGAATGGAAAGAAATATCAATCACTGAAGTCTCTTCATCCCCCTCATAGCTTCCTGTGCTTCTTCTTCCTAAGTGGTTCTTTGGCGGGAAGTCAGATTGACCCAGCTCCCATTCAGTCTCATTTGCTTCCCTCTCATCACTGCACAGAGACGATTGCTCAGAGTAAGCGCTGTGGTCTGAAGTCCCACATAGCTGGAAGTCATGAGAACCTTCAAATGCTGATGGGTGGCAGCTTTCAATCCATGTCTCCTCATGTTCGCTTTCAGAAGGTTGAGAGAGCACAGAGGGGTCTGTGAAGAAAGACCCCTTGGTAGCAAAATCCCTGGAGGTGTTATAGTCCTGCTCGACGTGGCATACACCATCAAATACCTTTGGGAAATCAATCATACCACAGGACTACTGAAGCAAAATGGTGTTTAGAAAGTAAATTTGGCCAGTATTCAAAAAACATAATGGCCATTTTTAAACATACTTATGATTGATTGTCTCTGCACCTTGAGTTGTTACATGAAGAGTTACATGGACACCTAATACACACTTATACATTCATATACATCTAAAAATCTAAAAACTATCCAAGGTGACAATGCCTTTGTAATCTTCTTCCTCACCTCTGTGTCTTCTGTAGTACAGGGCTGCTGGTTCTTATTTCTGATAAACTCTTTGAAAGAAAATGGATTCAGGTCGTCTTGCTTTGGCTCATCTGAAAGTAAATTCGTCCATGTGCACAAAATACATTAAAAATAAAGATTTCAAGAATACTCTGCAACCTTTTCAAGACAGAGAAATTGTGCTGCATTATTATCATGTTGGTTTATAGAAAGAGCAAAAGACAAGCAGGTTGACACGTACCATCTTCAATGATGAGCTTTTTCGTCTTGTGTTTGGACATGTTAACTTACAAATCAACTTGACCAGAGACGTAAACTATCCTGCAGACTGTAACAGCTAAATAACTGAGCTCAACATTACAAGAGAAAAGTACTGAAGAAAGTAAAATACATTCAAGTAAACGGTTCCGTGTAACTAATGTCAATGTCGATTATTCTGTTATAAACCTTAATTCGTTACTGTATTTTAGAAATGACAACACTAATTTCCAGCAGTTCTCACGGGCCTGCTTCTGTCCGACAGTGAGAGTTTTTTCTACAGGGAACATGTACAACATCGCCACCTATTGACGTGGAAGACACGAGAATAGGGTTGGAGAAGGGGGCTATGATAAATGCTGACTCGTGGAGACGTGCTATATATTATTTTTTATAAAAAACTAATAATAACATCTTAATACCCTAATTGTCAACACACGTACTTGTACTGTAATTGTACAATGTAACAAGAATTGACAAGATTTTGCAAACATAAGTTTGGCCAACAACAACATGCATTTTCTTATATAGCAAGTAAAACTGACTGGCCTTTTTCATGACAATTATTATTCTAGCTGAACTAATATTACTTATTATGCTAATTTTTATTCACCTTTAATTTGTGTAAGTATACAATATCGGTTATTAAACATTTAGAAGAACGTTTACTTTACTTACTTTCCATAAATGTATTTATTTAATAGTGTGTGTCTATCAGATTTTAATGTACCGCATTTCGGTCAACTTTGTTGTGTAGTAATGAAGTAATGAAGTTGTAGCTACTGTACGAGACGAGTAAGTTAGGCCTACTGCAATAAACACGTTGTAGAGAAGTAGATTAGATAAGTAAGAGAAAACTGTACCAGAGAATGTCTACACAATGTTTGCTGTAACGTTAACGTTAGTAGTTAACGTTACCGTGAAAGTACAGCCCGTTCTTGTAATGTAAAGGCCTGTTCACACCGGGACGAATTTCGCGCGCGTTATTCGCCGACGTTTAACGCCTCGTGACTAAACAAAGGGCGCCAATGTGAGTGTTCACACCAACGCGTAAAACGCCACGCGTAAAAGCGTCATTTTTTTAAAAACGCCTCGGGTTCGTTTTTTTGGTTTGACGCGCCGCGTCAAAAACTATCCGACCAATGAGATTGGCGCTTTTGCTCACGTGTCTGGAGCTTCTGAAGTTACAGTAAAACACAACTTGGGGGCGCTCAAACACAAAACGGTCTTGCCGAGCACACATACGTAATGGCGAAGAAGATATACAGCGTCTACACTCTGCCGGGAAGAAATAAGACGAGGAAGATGTAAGGCTAGATGAGTAGAGCTGCTGGTCTTGTTGGTGTCTTTATAAAGAGACACCAACGACAATAAAGAACCATATAACAAACGCGACAAACTTGCTCTCTTCTTCTGAGTGACAAGCGAGTGTCAGAAGCGTAGTTGCGCAGCGCCACTTTGTGGACCGGGGTATTTCTGTTTTACATTAAGCGCCATCTAATGTCAGGGAATGAATTTGCGTGTTCACTCGGCTCATCGTCAGCGAAAATCGCTTGGGTGTGAACACAAAAAACGCGTTGAAAAACGCTGACGAATAACGCGAGCCGATATTCGTCCCGGTGTGTACAGGCCTTTAGGTTAGGAATTGCAGCTCCCATCCGAGGCTGTTTTGAAAGTCTTTTATTATTAATGGTTTTAAAGAATTACAACTAAAGGCAAGGGTAAACATTGAGTAAACAAACAAAACAAAATACACATAAAAAAGAAAGGCTGTTTTGAAAGTCTGGCAGTCTGCCGCACAGAACCATAGAGCACAGAACGACGCATCTGCATGTATTCGTACTTCCACCAATCACATTCAACAACCTCACTCACGCATGCGCACTGCTGCACCGTACCGATTGCTGTCGCTCTCGCGCATCGCAGGTGTCAACGGAGCAAGCGTCTATGCTGCAGCTGCGAGAGTGAGGAACCCTATCTGCCCCATCGGAAAATATTAGTCCTCCTAAGAGGGCGGCAGTACAGATCGGACGGTATGAAAATGTTCGAATGAGACCGTGAGCTCGTGTCTGTTGCCAGGGCAGATTTAAGCGTGGAACAGGGCGGCTTCCCGGACTGTAGACAGCGGGCTCGCGGAGCGTCTTCAGCGGGGAAAGCTGCAGTCCTGCTGCCGCCGCTGCTGCTACAATGTTCGTGCAGGAGGAGAAGATCTTTGCAGGCAAAGTCCTGAAGGTCCACGTCTGTACTATGGAGGGCACTGAGTGGCTGGAGGAAGTGACGGAAGACACCACTATAGAGAAACTCAAAGAGAAATGCTTGAAGCATGTAGGTCTGCCATCGGTTAGCTGGCACTGTTAGCCAACCCGGACAGGACAGGCCCGCTAGATTTTCAGAGTCATTGCCAAGTATTTTTAGTAACTTACAGACGAGTCGACGGTGCTATTTATAATTTAGCAAGCTGGCCCGTCACCTCCGTCTCTGTGGCTGGACTGTAACTACAACTGTCACTCTGGTTGACTAACAGTGTACAGCTGACTTTGACTTGTTGACAACCTCTTTTTGTTCACAATATATCTGTCAAGTACTGTAGTGTACACACATCTGTGCAAATGGATGTACCTTTACACATTTTCATATGGTCTATGAGGATTTGATCTTTAAACTTTATGGTTTGAAGGTTGTGGATGCGTTTTTGTAAGCACTTTAGCAGGTGGCATCAACCACAGACTGTACTGTTATCCAAGCCTGGTTCCAGCTTCAATGTGTAGTTTGTGCTGAAAAGTACCATGGTGTTACCCTGTGCATAATGGCACGATAAGTGTGATGGACCAAGTTTTATGGACACACATACATCATGCCGATAAGTTGCCAGTGTTCTTTGAAGTACTTTGGAGTATCATGTAAAAAGCAGGATACATTAATTATTCAGTACCAAGGTGTGTACAATGGTAACAATTGACATTAACTGTACCATGGTAGCACAGTACTGGACCACCCTGTAAGAGTGGTGGTATGGATTTGGGGAGGGGGGCAGGCTCACCTGTAAATATTTATGGAGTAAATGTACACTACAATTCAAAACTTTGGGTTTGGTAAGATATTGAATGTTTTGAAAGTCTTTTCTCTTATGCTCCACAAGGCTGCATTTATTTGATCCAGTAATATTGTGAAATATCATTACAAATTTTATTATAAATTTTCAGCATCGTTACTCCAGTCACATGATCATTCAGAAATCATTCTAATATGCTCATTTGCTGCTCAAGAAGCATTTCTTATTGTCTTCAATGTTAAAAACAGTCGCTGCTCAATGTTATTGTGGAAACTGATGAATAGAAAGTTCAAAAGAACAGTTTTTTTTGTAACATCATAAATGCCTTACTGCCACTTTTGATCAATTTAATGCATCCTCGCTGAGTAAAAGTAATAATTTCTTTTTAAAAAGTTTTACTGACCCCAAACTGAATGGTAGTGTACTTATTATTTTGTTAGGAATAAATACCGAAATAAATGTCCTTTAAACTAATTTGTAATAGCCACTGCAGAACGCACAATGCTATTTAAGTCTTTTTTTACTTAATCTATATTTTTGTCTCCTACAGTATGTCCACGGAAGTCTAGAGGATCCTAAAACTCTTACACATCACAAACTCATTCATGCTGCCACTGAGAGAATTCTCACCGAATCCAAAACAGTTGCTGAGGAAAATCTTAAAGAAAAAGGTAATGAACAATTATGGTGCATCTAGAAAGGTGATTCTCGACCTTTTTGACTTCAAGCCCCTCATTCTCCACAACTATATTCAAAGTGTAAGGACTTTTGAAAGTATGATTTATGTAAACGTATATTCCTTACAAAAAGCCTGTAGAATTTTATTAGGTTTTACATGACTTTTCCAGGTCTAGAAAACACACATTTAAAATGAGACTACCTCATATATCCACGTTTTTCAAGACAATGGCAATTAAAATAAGAATCGATTTAGATTTTAGATTTCTTATTTAATGCTTGTTTTGTCTTATTTTAAATCATTTTAATATCATCTTAGAGCACATTGGCTGAGAACCACTGATCTAGAGTATAACATAGTGTTTTGCCTATGTTCTTTGAATTTAAAATTCGCTAACACTTTATTTTATGGTGGCGTAGTTACACGTGACTACATGTACTTACTATAGTGATAATAGTAAATTATGCATAATTACAAGCAACTAACGCGAAACTTAACCGTAACTCTATAGTAAGGACATGTATAAATTAATATTGCCCAGTACTTTTTTGAGTAAGTACAATGTAACTATGTCACCTTAAAACAAAGTGTAACCAAAAATTCTAAGAGACACAAACCCTTATTTTTTATTGTTTGTTTTCTAGATTGCTTATTATTGATAAAGAAAAGACCTCCACTGGCTCCACCAAAAATGGCTGACATATCTTCTGAAGAGAAGGTATCTGGTGACAGTTTTCATTTTTGGATGAACTATTCTTAATCCATCCCATTCTTTTACACTTCTAAGATTTGTGATTGCAAAATTAACCAGTTTGTGTGCTTGTTGACAGAAAAAGCAAGAGAACAAAGCACCAGATAAGGAAGCCATCCTCAAAGCCACAGCAAACCTGTCCACTCGTAACACTGACCGTACTGTAACTCAGCACAACATCAGAGATGTGGGTACTTGCAGTCTGTTCTTTTTGACTTGTTTGCATTGCACTGCTTATGTTTATAATATATTGTTTTAAATGTTACGATTTTTTCCCCCCTGTCAGTTTCAGACAGAGCTGAGGAAGATTCTGGTCTCGCTTATTGAGGTGGCTCAGAAGCTGCTGGCAATGAATCCAGATGCCGTTGAGCTCTTCAAAAAGGCCAATGGTAAGCTATGGATGTATGTATGGATAGACGCCTGAATGGATTAAATCAATAAATCTATTTACTGATTAAATAAATCATAGCTTTTCATGCTATTAACATGCTTTTCAGACATCTACAATTTAATACTATCGCTGCGTCTGAAAATGCCTACTTCCATGCTATATAGTAGGCGAAAAACAGTATGTGAGCTGAGTAGGATGTCCCAATTCATAGTATTCTTAAAACAGTTGGCGAAAATTATTTAGATGACCTACTACTTACGGAAAGATTCTGAAGTACACATTCGATGAACACTTAACTATCCCATAAGGCCATGGGAGAGGATTTTGAATGGAAGTGAAGGGATGCAACTAGGTCACATGACAATGACAACATGGCAGATGTAGTACATCTGAATTTCGTTCATACTATATGGAACATACTTTTTTAACGGTCTTGAAGTAAGTTTCAAACCAACTGTAGTACCTAGGGCACAGTATGTGATTTCTGACACTGCATATATTTTTGGACATTCCATACCATGGTATTATTTGAAGTACTACAGAGTGACATTGCTGTACCATTATATATATATATATATATATATTTGCATGGAGTTGTTATTAACCTAATTGTTTTATAATTGTTTTATTAATAATTTCATGACCACGGAGGCCATTGTGCAGGAGTAAATTATTTTGCAATCTTATCAAATGATGGTGAGTGAATATTCTTCCTATCTTCCCTCTCTGGCAGCTATGCTGGATGAGGACGATGAGGACCGTGTGGATGAAACGGCCCTGCAGCAGCTGACTGAGATGGGTTTCCCTGAGAGTCGTGCTGTGAAGGCTCTGCGCTTAAATCAGTGAGTGCTCTTAGCTGTGGTTGTGAAATATGCTACCATTCAAAAGTTTGGGGTTGTATTTTGTAAAGAAGTCTCTTATGCTCACCAAGGCTGCTTTTATTTGATCAAAAATACAGTTAAGCAGTAATATTGTGTTATATTTGCTGAGTTCGTGGCATGTCGTAATTATCGTAGTCTCGAGCTGACAACACGTGACGCTATATTCGGAGTTGTTCACGTCCTCGGACTGGGAATTATGCGTTTCTATGGCACCACTATCAACACTAAATGAATCTACAGCGGTCAGGTGGTACAGCAGTCATGTGGTACAAGTAGGAGATCTTACAAGCTGTAATTATGAGCTCTACGAGGATATGAATTTTTTTTACAAGTTGAAATCTTGTAATTATGGTAATTAGGACATGGTGTGAATGCACCTATTAGAGTTGTCAAAAAGTGAAAACCGTTGTGCTGCTTAATTTTTGTGGAAACCATGATACATTTTTTTCCCAGGAATCCTTGATAAATAGAAAGCTCCAAAGAACTGTATTTGAAATTGAAATAGAAATTTTAGAAACATTATAAATGTCTTTGTTGTCACTTTTGAATTTCGTAATGTGAATAAATGCTGAATAAAAGTATTCATTTCTTTCCTGAAACACTACCAACTGCAATCTTTTTAACTGTAGTGTAAATAATTCATGGATATAAGTATGCATAGCATATCTAGCTGGCAGGATAAAGTCACATTGGCCAAAAATGACTTTTTTGCCCCATTAAGTGTCATTTCAATTGTTAAATGAACACGTGATAAAATGTTTAAACATGATGTTTTGAGTTTGGTGCTGAACAACATCATCAATGTGTCCCAGCTCTCAGTGGATTAAATCAGAGTCACTTATAACTAATCCCTCTTTCTGCAGCATGTCTGTGACCCAGGCTATGGAGTGGCTGATTGAGCATGTAGATGACCCCATGGTTGACACGCCTCTGCCGGGACAGGACACGCCAGGGGCAGGGGCAGTGGCAGCGGCCGCTGCAGCCCCAGCTCCAGCCCCCGTCCCAGTCCCAGCACCTGCCCCTGGTCTTTCTGCTACAGTTTTAGGAGCCCGTGCCCGTCTTTCGTCCCAGGCCAGCATAGAGGAGGCCAAACAGGACGAACTGACAGAGATCTTTAAAAGGATCAGAAGGAAAAGAGAGTTCAGGCCTGACTCACGGGTGAGTGTCATGTGGGTGTCATGAGAAACAGGAGAAGAATAGTTCCTTTTTAAACCCAAACATTACAAGTTTCCTGGTGCACTGACATACTATGCTAACTGCCACTTAAGAATTTAAATGTCTAATTCAGGATCTTTGTAAAGTCTGCAGTAATTCACATAAAATAGCTGCTTCTGTGTTGCTGTGGTATAGTGCATTGTCTCGTCTGTGTGTTTGTGAGCAGGCAGTGATTGCGCTGATGGAGATGGGATTCGATGAGAAGGAGGTGGTTGACGCCCTCCGTGTCAATAATAATCAACAGGATGCAGCTGTATGTAAACATTCATAGGATCATATAAAATCATGTATATTGTTTTATTTCATGTATATAAGATATTTGTCAATTGAGATACTAACTTAACTACTAATTAAGATGTAACGCAATGTAAAACCTCTGTTCCCACACAGTGTGAATGGCTGCTAGGTGACAGAAAGCCCACCCCTGAGGATCTGGACAAGGGCATTGATACCAACAGTCCACTGTTTCAGGCCATTCTGGAGAACCCCGTCGTACAGCTTGGTCTCACAAATCCCAAGACTCTTCTAGGTGACGTCTCTCCCTCTATACTAAGGATGTGCCTGAAGCCGAATACCATGTTCGGAAAGGAAATGACGCATTCTATTGAGCCCCTAAAAACATGGTGATGGAAAAAATATATATATTTCAATGGATTGGCGTTTTCTCGTAATTATATTGTAAATAATTTGTGGGCATCAGGGAGCGGCTATCAATATACTGGATATTGAAATCGCTTTTGAATACACGCTCGCTTTTTTCTTTCGAATTCGTGATTACGCGTACTCTGTGTATTGGGTGCGGCGGTAATGACCACACAATTTACAAGATAAGATATTTGTCAGTGACGCTCAGGATCTGTTGCACACCATATCCCCCGACATTGTCCTGTCAGTCATCTCTCCTTACTATCTTCACATGATAAGTGAAATTATGATGTGTTGTAATGTAACCAACTAACGCAGCAAGCCTAACCATGTCCTTTTAAGGCTCCGTAGAATGTGTTGTTTATTTTCTGTGCCTTTATGAATTTGGATTTAGGCTTCGGGGACATTCCTACTCTATACTCAAATCCTCCTTCTTTTGAAATGTTTTGGTTGCAATTTATTTTGATGTTCGCTTTAGACATTCTGTTGACTACAAGTAACGTTGCATCTACATGTCAAACTAACTCTCATTTAGAATATTAGTTGAGCATTTCTAGATTGTTAAGGGTAGGGTTAATAGATTAAGGGGTTCGGGTTAGTAGAATAGGTTGACATAGTTGCAAAGTTGCTTATATTTAGTAGAATGTCAAAATAAACCATCTAAATGAAGTGTTAGCAGATATTAAGCAAACAGTAGTTAGATGACAAATAGGTGCAACCTTACTTATAGTCAACAGAATGTTTAAAGATGACCATAAAAAAAGTGTAACTGATGTTTAATTTATAAAGGTTTGCCTCAACATGTCAATTCAATGAAGAGTGTCTGTGAACAATTTTATAGTCAAACCACAGATGTTGTCGATATATTTTTTACCCCTTCAAACTAATTTTCTTCTAGTTTCTGCTGTGTACTTTACTGTTGAAAAAAAAAAGTATAATTTCAAGGTTTTCTAGTCTTTATTTGGCTCCATCCATTTAGCCAGTTACTGTATGACATCCAGTTTTCCAGTTTCTCCACCTGAAAGGTAACCCCAGACCGTGGTGCTGCCACCACCATACTTGATGGCAAGATGACGTTATCTGGGTGTTGGGCTCTGTGTGGTTTGTGGTAAACATAGCACTTTGCTTTTAAGCCAGAGTGCTCAAGTTTCACTTCATCAGACCACAGCAGTTACTTCTAAAGCCTTTCAGATTTTGTCACATGGCTTTCACAACCTCCAGAATTATGTTGGAGTTGCTGAGAAGTGGCTTCCTTTCTAGCCACTCACACAAAGAGGACCTAATCTTTGAAATGCTGAAAACATGGCTGATGTCTGGACAAAATGTCCAATTTAAGGCAAAAAGCTCTGCAAGTGACCCTTCTCTTTCAGTTCTGTCTGGTTGCTCCATTTACTAAGCTGCCTTGAAGATAACGTATACTATAATATTTCTATAAAGAAACACTAGATAAGTGTACAGTACATTCTCTTACACAGTATAACCTTACACCAGCACCACAATAATTTATTTACTTTCACTTTTAACATGTTGTCTTCATTAATGTGACAATTTGTTCTTTTGCATTGCCTATTACTATATTATAATTTGTTCAGTTATTCATACAACCTCTGATGCACTGATTGCGAACTAAAATAACATGCACACATATAGTGCACTAAACAGTATCTGCTTGTTTTTGTACACTATAAAGCAGTTTAATGTGTTATGAAAGTACTGCAAAAAGGTGCGTGTTTGGACTTCAGCTGTGCCAGGCTGCATTTCTGTGGAGTTTGCATTTTCTCCCCATGTTATAAGTGGGTTCCCTCAATGTGCTCCAGTTTTCCCCACAATCCAAAGATATGCAGGATATAGGCCATTGCCTCTTGCGGTTATATATATTATTATTTTTTTTTTTCATTTGTTAAAATATTTAAAGCTACACTGTGTAACTTTTGTCCCTTGTTGTTTAAATGTTAAAAAAAAAAAAATGTTGTTTTTACAGGTTTGCCATTTTACATGATCCATGGTCCATATTTCTCCCTCCCTCGACAATTTACTTACAGCTTCATGCTACTCTCACACCATGGCTGCGTTTAAGTCCAATTTTTTTAAGCCCTTCCCTCGCTAACTTCCCTTCCTCCTGTTCACTTAGATGTACGTGTTTGTGATGCCCGAGCTCCCACTACTGCCGGAACACAATGGGTCTCATTCATGAAACATTCGTAAATATACGAGTAAATATGCGAGTGATTTGCGCGTAAAGAGACCTTCCCGAAAACTCTTCTCCTGATTCAAAAAATACTTCGTAAACGTCAGATGTGATAGTGAAATGTGTGTGTGTGTTAATGAATTCCAATCAGTCGTAAATGGGATGCGCGTGCACGTTCATTCTGAATTACCATAAATCCCGCCCATTAAATCCGACTGACAACTATATATGGGCATCATATTATGACTTGAATGCGAATGAAAAAAAATATTCTCAGTTTTATTATCAGAAGTTCATTCAAAACGCCACATTTATTTTCAAGCGTACATAGCGGCGTATCGGGTCCTAAAAAAAAAGATGCTTGGCAGCATATTACAGATGCAGTTAATGGAGTTTCATCTGTTAATCGAACATTCCCAGAAGTGAGAAGAAAATGGTTCGACATTAAGCTTGAGAGCAAAAACGAATTAGTTCACTTCGGAAAAATAGTATTCAAACTGGAGAAGGACCACCATCGCAGATGCTATTACTGGCTCTCATAATAAGAAAAACCGTATGTAATTACTATATATAATATTTTTTCAAAATGCTGTGCAAATATGTACCCGATTAAGGTGAATTAAAATGCAGCCTTATTAATGAGCAAAACGTTTGGGTGTTAAGCGCACTATTTACGCGTGGCTGGGAGCAGGTGTAGATTTCTTGTGTACCAACTAACATTTGGAAAATACGAACATTTTAATGAATCCGAAAATTTACGCCAGAACCACTTTACACACGATTTACACAAAAATTCATTCTGCTCGTGTTTCATGAATGAGACCCAATGTGTTTAAATGGAACGCCCTAAGCCCTTGATCGCTTGTGGGTAAATTAAGTGCAAGCTCTGCGAGTTGTGACATCACAATTGTGGTCCATGGATCTGTCTGAAATGTGCATATTAAGTAGACTCGCTCTTTCTGTCAAAATCGAGGGCTCGAGGGTCTGTTCAAATAAAGTTAAACGGACTTCAAAATGGTGGCTGGGATTCCTCCTAAGGACACACACAATATATGTGTGTGTACTGTGTATAATTATTTTGTATATATAAATATACATATACTGTATGGATGTATATATTTAAGAAAAATGTGTTATTTATATATAAAATATTTATATATAAATTATGTATAAATATATATGCAGTATATATACATGCAAATATGTAAAATATATATATATATATTAGTGCTGGGCCGTTATTGGCGTTAACGTGCTGCGTTAACGTGAGACTCTTATCGGGCGATAAAAAAAAATATCGCCGTTAATCAAAGTTGGGTTGGGATCATAAATAGCTTTTTCGAATATCGTTATATTTTCGCGCAATTCTAATGTGTAGTATGACGCCGCGCCTACTGTCACAGATCGCGCAGTAGGGTATTTTTTTTTTTATCCGATATTCGACTTTTGCTCCTCGATTGTCGAATGGCATTTTTGGCAGAAATGCACATCCCTACGCGAGGCAAACTATTCTCAAAGACTTACTTTTAGTCATTATTTGGGTAGCACACATATTCTGAATGCCTTCGGGAGAATTCAAATGAGCCATTTTAATCTAGATTAATCTAGATTAATTTCAATATTAATCTAGATTAATCTAGATTAAAAAAAATAATCTATGCCCACCTCTAATATATATTTTAATATATATGTGAGCCATTTTAATCTAGATTAATCTAGATTAATTTCAATATTAATCTAGATTAATCTAGATTAAAAAAAATAATCTATGCCCACCTCTAATATATATTTTAATATATATGTTTGCATATAATTTCCCGCTGACCGCTTTAAAATATAGATTATTACCGGTATTGTAGGTTTATCAAAGTGCCTCTGGATAAAGTAAAGAGACAAACTCTCATTTATAGCATTTTTTTTATTTTGTATTAAATGTAGTGTAGATTTCATGTGATCAAATACTTTTTGCTTTGAAGTCTAAGACCATTGTAGAATCATTCAGAAAAACAAGCTACTGTATTTAGTGCACCTTTAAACTGTATTTTCAGTTAGGTGCAGTACAGTCTGTGCCAGTTGTTGGTTGGATGTGGCTGAGGCATGTTTTTCTTGGCTTTGCAGCGTTTGAGGACATGCTGGAGAACCCGTTGAACAGCACGCAGTGGATGAACGACCCTGAGACAGGTCCCGTCATGCTCCAGATCTCAAGAATCTTCCAGACACTCAACCGCACGTAAAGCACACCTCATCTCTGGAGCAGCCGGAACCACAGAATAGGGGAAAAGGTCAAGCATTTATAAGAGAAGAGTGTGTGTGTCTGTGTGTGTGTGTGTGTGTGTGTGTGTGTATGTGGCATAACTGTTGTTTTAAGTAAAGTCACAGAAAATGAATGTAAAAATACATTGATGACATTTCACACCGTTATACAGAGGAAAATATCTATTTATAACTCCACACAACACTTGTACAAAAACAATATAAGCAGTAACCTAATGATAAATTGCTAACTTCATTAATTAGCCTAGTTTTTTATGTTTTAATAAGATTTGTTTTAATTATATTAAGCACATGCTTCTTTTTTAAATATCATTTCTCTATAGATTTGTACAATTGGACACAAAAAAGAAAAAACATCTCCAGAAACACTTTTGTATGTTTCTTCTGCTCAAAGATCAAATTACAACCAAATTATTTGACACTTCACATGGTACATTTGTCATAACTGAATGTTACTACAGGGAGATAAACAATGCATATTCAGTTATATTTATTATGGTTTTAAAATCTAAACACTTTCTGTATTCGATTATAAGTTCCTTCCAAAAACATAAACTGAACGCACGTTGGAAGGGAAAGCAAGCACCAGCAGTTTGAAAGGCATTCAAGCTTTGTGGTTTCTTTAACAATACAGATGTTTCTGTGATGTTGTGGATGTTACGCAATAGCAATTTGAAGTCCCTTACTGACATAGATATGTGATAGATATTGATATCTAACCTGATCCCTTTGTTCCTCTTATCTCTTTCATTCTTCTGATATATAAACCAACTATTCAGCTGGAATCTGTCCAAACGGATGCGAGTCAGTTCTGATTCTGTTGGTTTAGAACAAAGATGGTATACATGAGTTGTGGATCTTTAACTTGGTTTGCTCTCAGTAGCTCCTGCATCAGGGGTTTTCAAGTTGAAGTATTACAGTACCTTTTTATCCAATGTCATCATGATCAAGCTGCCGCCTCTGATCTCACTCACAGCCCTGCGCACGTTTAATGTTAATGGAGGCTGGACTATTTTAGTTTGTACTAACTATAATAAAATGACTTTTTTCTTTTATGAATTGGTTCTACTACAGTACATCCGTTTCTACAGTATGTGTAAGTCGGTTGTGTTTAATGACAAGTATGAATTATGTGCTTAGTGTGATCGCAGTTCTCTTATGTCACACTTTTTACAGTGCACTTACTAGTTTTTGCACAGGAAATTCAGACTGAATTCACAACATTCTGATGTACTCTTTTATTTTAAATCATCTTGAAATTCCCTGTCTAAGGTGAAATTCAGGCATTGGTAGTTTTTAGTCAGAATCAAGATAAAAAATGTTATTTAAATGGTTCTGTTATGCATCAGATAAATATATTACACAAATGCGGTCATACCAAACACCAATTTTAGAATCATAGATAATTGTGTGAATTAGAGGATGAAATATGGTTTTTTTTTTTTTTTTTTTTTTTTTTTTTGGTCAAGCGTGGAGTTTTTTCATTCAATATTTGAATCGTGTTGGTGTGAAGTGTGTGCTCAGGGGTTTCTTAGCCATACCGGGCAAATATCTGCTATAGTAATGCCTACTTTATCAATACAAATAACAGTAGCTTAGTGATTGCATTATCAGAGGACTATGAATATATCTGAAAACTTAATCTTTAAATGAAAACTTGCTATCCTTGTGTGATTTATTTATTTTGAGGCCAAATATAGTCAATCATGAAACCATCCCTAGAGAGATTACTGTATGTCAATGCCATTTTAGAGAACCTCACCTATTAAAATGGTACACTATGTTCACTTCACTGTCTGAGTGGCTTCTAATCTACTTAAAGATTATGTTCTTCAACACATTCAGCATTTGAAAGCAGACTCCATTATCCTGAGAACAAATTATTATTATTTTTTGGTATTAAGAGAGGTAGCTTATATTGTTTTGGACGACTAGAGAGTAAAAGCTTCTATGCAATTAAATTTCTTTTTGTTGCCTCAACAGAAAAACAACAGGCTTCAGTATCATGATGCATTTGTAATATATGAGTTTTTGATGTGCACTTTCATATCATATCTTTTTAAAATTTGAATCAAATGTTGGTTTCATCATGGGTAAGCTCTGTTATGTAGAAAGTGATATATGATTTCAGTATTTTAAAATGTTTGATGGTCATTCATTTACTATTTAGAAATGCTTATATGGTTGAACAGTGTCATTTTGGAAACTGAATTGTCATTTTCTTAATGTCAACACCTTGAAGGAATAGTTCACTTAAAAATGAAAATTCTGTCATCATTTACTCACAAAAGAAGGTATTTTCAAGAATGTCGGTAACCAAACAGTTCGTGGACCCCATTGACTTCCATAGTATTTCTTTTTCTGCTATGGAAGTCAATGGGGTCCATCAACTGTCTGGTAATTGACATTCTTCAAAATATCTTCCTTTGTGTTCAGCAGAAGAAAGAAATTCATACAGGTTTGAAACAACTCGAGGTTGAGTAAATGATGACAGAATTTTCATTTTTAAGTGAACTATTCCTTTAAAAAGTGAAAATTCCTTTTCCTCCCTCATTTGAAAAAGGTTATCAGGTTACAGAGGTTATGATGAAATGTCTTGAAGGTGGTGCTCTTGTGTTACCATTTTACTTTTGTGTCCTTGCTCCGTGTACAATTTCACATAGAGCCCCCACTGTCGGTGAGCTGAAATGTAACTTTTCTCAATCCAATTGTTGAGAAGTCTTTCATGACAAATAAAAAAAAAAAAGTTTTGAAATCTCTGCTTTTTCTAATTATTAATATCATTTGCATGTTGCAGTAAATTCAAGAAGTAGTTCAGAAGTCTGAAAACAGCAAAACGTCTTTCTTTGCATGCACCAAAGCCTAATATTTTTCAACCTCGCCCATTTATAGTCCCACATCCACAGTACATGCTTGTTTAAGGAACCTGTTTCACTCAGTTATGCTTAATGATACTATTTTTAGTGTTATTATATTTTAGTACTATTTATGTTTTTTATATTTTGAATTATAGGTAATTTTCATTTTAGATAGATATTAGCAATTTTCATAGCAATTTTGTTATGTGCTTTTTAAATATTTATAATTTTCTATATAGATTTAATTTAAGTTTTTCATCTAATATTTCTATACTTTTATTTTAGCCTTATTTCAATTACAGAAAATTAAAACAAAAAATAATTTTTATAGTTTTAGTTAACAAAATGCTGGTGAAATAAACCTTATACATTTAGCAGATGCATGATGGGTACAGACAAAATGTGAAATGTCACTTATGGCAGATGTTTTTTTTTGTTTTTGTTTTTACGGGTCCGGAGACCCTGGGGGTGTCGGAAGGGATTGGTAGGGCCTAGGGGGTGCATGGAAAAGCAACATTTTTTAAAATAAATATATTAAATAAAAAACAAGATTAAATAAATATAAATGTAGATTGTTAATATTTATAATACCTTAATATGTTCCTGTCTCATAGTCACATTTATCAGAGTTAGAGCTGGTCGAAAACATAGTTTAGCCTACATTTTGCGATGATATAAACAAACAAATGTTCCAAACCTGTATGAGTTTCTTTCTTCTGTTGAACTACAAAGAAGATATTTTGAAGAATGTCGGTAACCAGACAGTTGATGGTAGCCATTGACTTCCATAGTATTTTTTTCCTAAGGAAGTCAATGGCGTCCATCAACTGTCTGGTTACCGACATTCTTCAAAATATCTTCTTTGTAGTCAACAGAAGAAAGTAACTCATACAGGTTTGGAACAACATAAGGGTAAATGAATGATGACAGAATTTTTATTTTTGGGTGAACTATCCCTTTAAATCAGTATTATCAGAGTACAGTGTTACATATTAGACATCCACAATCTCTGGTATTATGTTCATGTGTGATTACAAATCGTGGACTGCGCATATCTAACGCTGCTTTCCCCCGCTGCACTACAGCAGCAGCGACTGCGCATATGTAGCGCATCTTTCACCCTCTGCAGTACAGCAGTAAGTTCGCGTGCGCGAGAATGGGTACATCACTCGCGCGCCAACATGGTCAGCTGTACTAGTCTCTTATCAGGAGACTATTTTTAATCATCAGAGTTTGGGCCTGTATTCTAACAACAAAGTGAGTTTTGCAGGCCATGTGTTAATAATCAGACAATGCTGTAAAATGCATACAAGTGTCAAACGTGTGCTTGCATCCAAATCCTCCAAAAAGTCCAGCACTCAGACAACTATCAGCAGATTCTTCACAAGTGCAAGCGATCAATCTCAACCAATTGACCGACCCGGGATTAACTGCCAAGACCAACGCCATGAGGGCAGAGGAAAGGTAAGAGCTTTATATATTCAGAACAAACAGCTTGTTTACTTTGTAAATAATCTGCACTCCAATCATACAATAAAGCCATGTCAACAATATGCATCGCATCCACGAAGCTTTTGCTGTTTCAAAGCAGCACCGACTGAAATGTAAACCTGTTCTGATTTAGAAGAGGTTATGTGATGGAGGAATGTCATCAGGGAAACGACCCAAACTCTCTCACAATGTGGAGGAGAAAGATGAAGAGTGCATGCGGACCCCCAGCACCTGTAAGGACATAATGCACCATGCACGGCATTGTTTTCATCATGTTTATTGTAGTTTTTGTTGTTGTCAGCTGATTTGTTTAACTGCATTGCACATTTCCCTTTAGAGCAGCTTGTTTATGCTGATGTAAAAATGTGTTTTCTGGCATGGCATTTACACTAAGCGGGGCTCAACAACAGATTTGAAATGGACCTTTTCACCGACCCAACATTATTTTTTATATAGTTTTTGTTTTAGCCAATTTTTAAGTCAGAAAGGCTCGTGTTCTTTACACGCACACACATTAAAAAATAAATAAAAAAAGTTAAATAATTACAGTTGTAATGTAACTATGCTTTTTAAACGCGCTTCACTAAACAACAATGTTTAAAACATTCGAAAAGGAAATGTTTTGGTTTGTATTGTATGGTATAAACAAATTGTATTAGTAAATTCTACAGTTGTAATGCACTCCAATCATACAATAGAGCCATGTCAACAATATGCATCGCATCCACGAAGCTTTTGCTGTTTAAAAGCAGCACCGACTGAAATGTAAACCTGTTCTAATTTAGGAGAGGTTATGTGATGGATGAATGTCCTAAACTTGATAGTGTATATATGTGCAGGTAAATATACAGTACCGTTTTAAAAGTCTTAGGCATGTTAGTATTTTCACCAGATATTTTATAAGCCAGTTATTTATAATATCTTTTGCTGTAATGTGTCAGTTGGAA